CCCTAGTGAGGCCGAAAGCTGTATAATAGTGGCAGAGATGCCCAGTTGATAGTTGATTAATAAAGTGGTGGTTGTTGTAATGGCATCATTTTTTGGGTGGGCCAGGAGCAGGGGTGGGCCAGAAGTGGGTGCTTTGACTTACTCGAAGAGAAAGCGTCGCTTTGCTGATGCTTGTCTTGCTAAGCTTCATACCCCTATTCTACGGGGAGCATTGTGACCCGCATCAACCCTACCTGCCCTTGACCTCCAACAGAGTGAATGATTGAAAACAAATCAATAAAGGGAAAGATTCGTTGAAGATGCAGGGCACAAAACCTTTTATATGACATCTGCTACGGCATTCAAGCCGGATTGGCCCCACAATCATTGAGATCAGTGGAAAGCAAGATGGCACGGAGAACGGACCGATGCTTGTGCCCGTCATATCCCCAGAGCACGTTGAGGTCATTTTCATGATTCCTATACTTCATGGCATTGCATTTTTAATCGTCAGATCCTAATCGGTCCGTGAGCCTTGAGCCTCAGTCGACGTTCACAATCTGGGGCGTGTAGACGGAGCCATCCGGCCGAACGGACTACTCCGGCCACCGGAACAAACGCCAGCACCTGGAATGATCCGAATACAGAAGGAGACCCGGACAAGTCCACCCAATCCCGCGAAGCTTATTGTTTGAGAAGTGAACGACCGCGGGTCTACCCCGTACTGGAAACGCGTTGCCCATGGGGTGTAAGCACGGTCACCGCCAGCGACGGATCATTCCCGCAAAACTTCCCCAGTCAGTCTCAACTTACACAACCTGTTGACAACACGAACCCTGAGTGAGAAGTTCTTTTGATGATTTTTTGAGTTTCATCGGCGCTTTTGTGGGATAGAAGATGGAGGACAACCCATCGTGCTTGGTGCTCTATCAACAGGCCATGCATGTGTAATTCCAGGCCACCACGAGCAACACCATCTTGAACCCGGATCAGGCGGCTCTAGATCCAGTTTTGGGATGCCTCAGAGGTTCAAGTGGCTCGATCTCCACTTAGGAATTTGCGGAGTCCCCATGGCACGACCTAGAGGGGGAACCCAGTCTTCCCGCCTCCCATGCCATGGTTCAAATCTGAGCTCGACCCTTTCCATTTTTCTCAGAAGTCTGGAGAAGTTTCAACTCTTCAGTGGACTCTAGCAAAACCATTTGCAATGGCCATCATCGACAAGAAGATATACGAGCAAACCCCGAAAGAGGCGATTTCGTGGAAGATTCTCTGCTATGCAATCATCCTGTCCTTCTCCGGCTCAGCCCATGGTGCGTAGACAAGCTTTAACCAACCGCATGCCAAGCATTGGCGTACTAACCGTTGCTGTCATCAATAGGCTTCAACACGGCCAACATATCGGGCGTCCTCGCCTTCTCGCCCTTCAAGAAGCATTTCGAGCTGAGCGGCATGTCGGAAGAGTCCCTCGCTGACTGGAAAGCTTGGATCACCTCCATGCTGATCCTCGGCTCCTGCGTCGGGTCTCTCATCATCGCCCCCATCAACGACAAGCTGGGCAGGAAATGGTCTCTTGGCCTCTCCGCCTTCGTCTACTCCGTATCGGCTATCTTGATGAGCGCCAACCCGGGTGGTGCTGGAGGCAGAGCTGAGCTCCTCGTCGGCCGGTTCCTGTCAGGGGCAGGATCCGGAGCAGCAAGCGTCGTCGGCACGAACTACATGGCCGAGATCGCGCCTAGCGCTATTCGAGGCGGGTTGACCGCATCATACAACGCCAACACGATGCTTTCTGTCGGCCTCGCGTACTGGATCAACTACGGCGCGCTGCTGAACCTCGGTGGCTCGAACGCACAATGGCAAGTTCCCATGGGCGTCCAAGCCTTGCCTGGTATCATTCTCATCGTCGGGCTTTTCTTCGTGCCCGAGTCGCCAAGATGGCTGCTGAGCAAGGGCAAGTCGGAGGCCGCTGAGGCAGCACTTGAGAACCTGAGGTCTCTTCCTAGGGACCACACGTATCTTCGTCAGGAGCTGTACGAAATCCGTGCTGGACTCGAGCACGAGCTGGCTCTTTCCCCTGGCTTCAAGGGTTTCCTCAAGGAGATGGCGTCCTCGAATGTTCGGAAGCGCCTTGCTCTGGTCATGATGATGCAGATCGGGTTTCAGTTTTCTGGCGGCAACACGTTGACGTACTACATGACCTCCGTAAGTCAATATCCTATTCGAACACATGGTACTATGCTATGCAGAAATGCTAACACCCGACGCAGATCTTAGAGTCTATCGGCATCACCTCGAACTCCTTTAACTACCTCTTTGCAGGCATCTACGGCATGGTCAAATTCTTCTCGGTTCTTCTATACTGCCTCTTTATCATCGACAGACTTGGTCGCCGAACCGGACTCTTCGTCGGCTCAGCTCTCATTCTAGTGTCCCTCACCTACATCACCGTCTTCCTTGCGGTCTCTGACAAGTCTGGAGAGATATCCAAAGCCGGTGGCCTGGTAGCCGTAGTATTCATCTACATATTTGCCGTCGGGTACAGCTTCTCATGGGCTGTCGCGCCATACATCATCAACGCGGAAGCCTTTCCAACCAAGATCCGCTCCACTTGTATGGCTATCTGTATTGCCTGGCAGTACCTAGTCAACTTTGCCTTGTCACGAGCACAGCCGAACATGGTCCTCGCTATGCACTCGTGGGGACCCTTTTGTCTCTTCACTTGCGTTACGCTGTGCATGACGGTCTATGCGTACTTCGCCTACCCTGAGACGAAGGGCTTGTCGATGGAGCATATGGAGGAGCTGTTCAACATGCCTTGGTATCGTGTCGGCAGGGCCAGCACCAAGGTCATCATTGCAGTTGGCGCTGAACCCACGTTGGATGAGAAGAAAGAAAGAAGCATCAACGTTGAGCAGACGGAAGATGCTGGAAAGCCGCGTAGTGCTTAAATGTCGAGCTTCTACCCTTGCAATCTTCAAGAAGGCTGACGAAAGAGAACTTCAAGAAAGCGAGGGCATATGATTAGAGGATGCAGAGGACTGAGAGGGATAAGGATGCGCTCAACCTGGATAGCAAATGATGGACGCAGGTTCAAACGCACGCCATTCACGAGTACATGATTAGTCTGGCGCATACATTGCTGCACAGAAAGTAGAAAAGAGAAGACATCTGCTTCGTGAACGACCTCAATTAGGCCTACTATCTTCAATTCATCATTTTGAAGTCGTTAAGTAGCCTCCTCATACTGGTTGATTAACCGCTGAGGGACAAGCCCCCTCAACACAACAACGCCCGCATGCACAATCCCCCATCTAACCGTCGTCAGGATATCCGCCATAATCCACACCAAGCCATTGGTCCGCCTCTTCTCCCTCCTTAATGTAGCATCATTACGCTCCACCCGCTCCGACATACTCGAGATCAACGCATCCATCTCACCCTGCGGGTCCCAAATCATCTCGTCTTCCTCGCAGTCCTCATCTTCGTCAAACTCACCCATCGCATCAAAGTTTCTGCGCGAAGGCACGCCGTAGTTCCTGTTCGGCCGCGCATGATGGAATGCCCAGCACGTCAACGTCGCCAGATAAAGACACCACGGCACGTGGAACAGGTTCATCGCCTCCGTGCCGCTCAGAGTCTTCTTGGTCTCTCGCAACATTTGCGCTGCATGCCACGCGGCCGCTGTGGCAGACTGCTTCTGCCCCACGCTCTGGTCTGACGGGGTTGCTGCAGAGGATTCTCCTGGTCTTGAGCCCTGCACCTCACCTGGGCCGTTATTCGTCGCGGAAGCCCATCTCTTGACGACCTGCGCGGACCGCATGTAATCCTTCTGCTGCACTGGTCTGCCGAGTATGTGCCTTGCACCTGCATAAATCTGCACGTCCAAGAAGTCCATGTTCAGCAGCGCCTGGGCAGAGTGATACAGAGCCTTGTACGCCGCTGTAAAGGACTCAAACTCCATCTTCCGAACATCGTCATCTGGCGATGGTGGTCCTCGCGGCATTTGGGCAAAGAAGTTGTTGCAGTACCAGTCGAAGTCGCTCCTCCAAGCATCATAGCCTGAGCTCAGTGTCTTGCGCCATCCAGAACCTGGACCTGGACTCTCTCCAGAAATGACACCGAGAGCAGTCTGATCTCGACGGCCCATGTCCCAGGCGACGGACATCAGACCGTGGAGCACAAGAATGCGAGAGAAGCCACTGAGGCCGTGGGTTCTTGGACCGGATGGCATAAGATACGCCTTCAGGACAGGGAGGTAGAACGTTCTCTGGTCGCTAATGCTGGATCGCCATGCAGATACCCACTCTGTCGCATCTCTTGCCTCCCAAATGCTTTGGTTGCAGGGAAGCTCGAGGCGAAGCTCAAAAGCAGACATGCATAGGCTCTGGCAGAAGAGCACTGCGTGTTGCGTGTCCCACATGAAGCACAGTAGAGCCAGCCTGCTACTGAGTTAGCTATCATCATCACTATCAACGTGCTTTGAGCAGAACTTACCTCTTCTTCTGCTCGGCCTCGGCCCACTTCTTCCACAGCTTGTCCAAAGACCCGGCACTCTCATCTCCACCAACTGGTGGTGGACCAGGAGGTCTCACGGACTGACAGTCGGAACGTCTAATAAGGTTGATCAAGAGACCATGGAACAAATGGCTCATATCATGCTGCTTCTGTCCCGCGCGAGACTTTCCGAAGCACTCCACAAGCAGAATAGTTTGCAGCGTCCACAACTCGGGCCTTGGAGAAAACCCAGCATGCGCAAAGATGCTTGGTCTGATTACATCATGTATGCAGACGGCTAATTGGTGGCAATCCTTGCTGGAGTAAGTTGCTCCCAGTAGAAGAATGGACAGGAGGAGAAGCGGCTCGGTGTCTGCACAGTTGAATGTTTCGAGGTGCATCAGGGGATAGGCCGTGTTGAAGCGAGTAAAGAATAGGTGAAGATAGGAGTTGAGAGAGTCAACGGATAGCAGGGGGTGCTCCCAGATGGTATAACGCTGATCGGGGAGACAGGGCTTGGCTGCATCGGCGGTATTAAGAAGTCTCTCTCGAATCTTCTCGTCAATAGTTGGGGTGTTGAGAGGCTTCCTGAGGGATGACAGAGGTCGCTCTGGCTCCAAGATTGGAGCAGGCCGGCTGACTGCTGTGTACCGCTTTCGGGTCGGTCCCGACGCTTCGGCAGCGCGCCGTGCGGAGTTCATGTCCGAGCTTCTCTCCGCAGAGCTGCGTGGTGCAGGTCTCTTTGGAGGCTCTCTCGGCGGTAGCTCTTGTGAAGCAGATTGTATAACGGTGTTATAACTTGGCGGCTTATCTTGGCCACTGTTATCGGTTGGTGCAACGTCCATGGGGTCGTTCCAAAGTTGAGCGCTCTTCATAGACTCAGGTGTGATTGCAATGTTGGTCTGTGTCCGTGCAATTGACGGGTTCTCCGGTAGTTGAGTGTTGTACTCTTGAGTTGATGTTTTGGATGTAATAATGGGACCAGCAGCCTCTTGCATATTGAAAAGCCAGTTGTAGTCTAAGGCGGTGGTATAAGGCATATTAAACGAGCTGGCAGTATCCGGCTGGAAGATCTGGTCATAGTCCAGATGCTCGCTTGAGAATGGGTCGCCCCAGTTGATAGGCTGATTGGCATCCAGGTCGAATTGGTTGTCGGATGCTCCAAAATCATGAAATTGCAGTGCTGGAGGGAAGCCAGCAAAGTCGTTGACTGTCTCCGACGTGGCGAATAGGTTGCCACGATCAAAGGGGTAAGAATGGTTTGAGTCAAAGCTCGCAGGTCGTAGATCAACCGTGTGACGCCTGTGAATGTCCGGCGAAATACTCCCAACTGAGAAATCTTGTTCTCCAGTTGCGTCAAAAGAAGAAACACTTTGGTCTCCGTCGGTAGGCTCCGGTTCCGGTGATGGTACTTGAGTGGTTTGTGGGCGTGCGCGTCCTGAAGTCCTACCCCGGCCTGGAGGGTACGGACAGGGTCTCTTTTCAACCACGGAGCCGTCTGGTGCTTTCCAAGATCTTTTCCTAGTGTCCAAAACACCAAAACCTGGTCCACCTGCTTCGAGATCCTTTTGACGGTGACGGTCCATATGCCGTTCTAGTCATGTTAGTTGCCATCATTTCAAAATACTTGCTGAATCAAGCGGTGTACTAAATGATTCAGGGGTTTATTACGACTTACTCAACAGATCAGGGCGCTTGAAGTGAGCGCTGCAAATATCGCAACTCAAACCACCAGGCTGATGATTGAGAGCATGGCGTTGCATATGCTCAACCCGAGTGAACCGTTTGCTACAGCCCGGGTGAGAGCAGGTGAACGTCTTCTCTTCACCTAGGTAACCGTCCGAGCTCTCGCTGTTGTGACGATAGCTGGCGCTGCCCGCCATAGCGGTCTGGGAGTCGCTCATGGTTGTCCAATGGGGGTCATCCACTTCCGAGTACAGTGCAATTTCTTCACCCCTGACAGGATGTAGAGAGGTCTCAGCCAGGTTGCTGAATGCTGGGAAAGAAAGCTGGATGTGCGCATAGGACGATCTGGGTTGTGAATTGGATCATATCGCCGGAGATGGGGGAATGGGGAGGGTCATAGGCCGTGCGACGCCGTAGGATCGGTTCCACTTCTCCGCATTCTGGCTCTCTCGGCGCTGCGCGGTTGCGGTATCTTGCATATTGTGTAGCGTTGCAACCCGTATCTGCTACGAGGATGTTGATAGGAGTGCGAGATATTCAGCAGGTTGACGGAGGGCGATGGCCGGCATGCCCCTCCCCCACTTACGCCACTCCTGATAAGACATTGGTTCTCCGCGATCCCACCCCAGGACAGCTCGCCCGAGAGATAAGAGTGGGGTAACGCGACTTCGGGGGCCACGCTTGTATGATAGACTCCAAATGCGGGCGTGTCTTATCTTATTGGAGCGGACGTCTGATAGTTTGGAGATACCAGTTGAGTTTACGAAAGACCAAGGAGCACTCGGAGATGGGTAGCCGGAGGAGGGGTCACGTTGTGCACGGCGCAGACTCGGCATTCGTGACAACGCTAGGTGCGACCATCAGATTGAGTCGAAGTGGTGTCCATGATGCGATCAATTCCACTCTTAGGATATTGGTGTATGAGGGAATGAGGCGCATGAGTGTCCATATGTTCGCCGCTCTGCGTCTTTGCGGAAGCGGTCCTCCCGGGCCTTGATCATATTTATGCACGCGAACAATCATTGGGTCAATTCTCGGGCCTCCATACCAGCGGCATCGTCTCATCTGTTCATCTGCTGAGTAAACAAGAGCTCATCTTTTGAATTGCGCCTGAACTTGTTCGGTGTTGTGTTCAAGCCTAGGTAGTCAACATCATGGCATCAGCAAGGAGTTACATCATCCAAGAAAAGATCCAGCGAGATGCCAGTAGCAGGCTACATGTGAGTGAATGATGCCTGTTTCCTCTTAGGATGATGCAATCATATAGCAGATAGCTAATAATGAGAATAGGTCATCATCGTCGGCGCTGGTCTTGGCGGCCTAGGAGCGGCCATCGCAACATTGCTGGCCGGACATGAAGTGACCGTCCTCGAATCTGCACCAGCCATCGGCGAGGTGGGCGCTGGTATCCAAGTCCTGCCCAATGCAGCCCGCGTGCTTTTCTCCTGGGGCCTGGAGGAGAAGCTGGAGAAGTATGCGACCAAGCCCCAGAAGTGCAACTTCATCGGCTGGAAGGGCAACTTCTTGGGCGACATGGACTATCACAAGTACGCGGCCGCAGCAGGCGGCTTCCCCTTCTGGGACTTTCATCGATCCGATCTCCATCGGTGCCTTCTTGAGCGCGCCGTCGAGTTAGGAGCCGAGCTAGTCACCAACGCCAAGGTCGAAACATTTACTGTGTCTGAAGACCAGATGTCATCATCCGTATTCTTGGCGGACGGAAGGACCATGACTGCCGACCTGATTGTTGGTGCAGACGGCATCGCTTCCAGCCTTAGGGAGCAGTTCCTCGGCAAGTCCGACCCACCCCAGCTTACCGGCGACTTGGCATATCGGCTTCTCCTGAACACTGCCGACATGCTCAAAGATCCCGATCTGCGACACTTCGTCGAGAACCCTCAAGTTAACTACTGGGTCGGCCCCGACAAGCACGCCGTCAACTACGTTCTCAAGGGCGGCAAGCTGTTCAACATGGTTCTTCTGGTTCCCGACGACATGCCCGTCGACGGAGGAAACACCCTGAAAGGCAACATCGAGGAGATGCGAGCGCACTATGACGGGTGGGACCCCCGTATCAGCAAGATGCTGCTGATGTGCGACGAGGTTCTCAAGTGGAGGCTTTGCATCAGGCCCGGTCTCGACCCAACGTGGTCTCACCCATCTGGTGCATTCACCATGCTCGGCGACGCCGTCCACGCTACCCTGCCGTACCTTGCTAGTGGTGCTGGAATGGCACTTGAGGACGGTGGTGTTCTCGGTTTGTGCCTTGCTCGCTTGACTGACAAGTCAGCCGCGGGAAAGAAGCAAGCTTTGAAGATCTACGAGGATTGCCGTCGGGAAAGGACGGAAAAGGTTGTGCGTCGCGGCACATACAACCAATGGATGTATCATCTGCACGACGGAGAGGAACAGGTTGACCGTGACGCGAAGTTCACGCATTTTGGTGAGATGGATGATAAGTGGTTGAGTGGAGAGTCGCCTGTTCTGCCCGAGTCTCAGGAGACAGGGGAGGACCCGTTCCCTTGGAGGTACCACGGTGTCGGCAGGTGGCTGCTGACCTATGACATGTGGAAGGACATTGAGTCAAAGTGGCCGTCCGCTCCAGTTGGAGCTGCATCACACAGCGAGCATACACCTAGAGCGAGTCTGTGAGGTCTTGCACTTGTAGAATACAACGTAATTTCATCGAACATTGTTTCCCACCTCATGCATGTATCGTCTATGTGTTGGTGATGGAGCTGCCTCTCAGAGTCGTCACCGTGCTCCATCACACTGATAAATAAGTAGCGAACTGATTATTCACAGACGATATCCTAATGGCCTTTCAGCTTCATCTTCATCGCGCCTTATAGATGAGGAAGACCACCCAAGGGATACGCCGGCGATGACATTCTTCCCCTCGTGTGGGTGCTCTTCAACCTTCTTGACTACCTCAACTCGTTTTGGCTCGATAAAATTGAGGCCAACTACTAAGACCTTTGAGAAAGACATGCATGTGGTATTGACACCGCGGTGTGGTTAAAAGTAACTCAAACTTTTCTGTATTTTCTCAATGCATATTCTATCATCATGATGCGTCGCTTTACGACTAATGGTGTGGTCTTTTTGACCCCGTAAACTTTCAAACCCTTTATGCCTGCGCCGTGACCTCCGCATTATCGACCTTGTAAAACTCGTAATCATTGTAACCCTTCTCAGGGGGCTCCGCGCCGTAGAATGTGGTTCGGTCGTAAGGGTTCAGGGCGTAACCGCTCTTCAAGCGCTCCACAAGATCGGGGTTGGCGATGAAGTGCCTGCCAAAGACAATCGCGTCGGCCTCGCCGCTCTTCACCTTCGTCGGCGCGTTGTCTCTGTTGAAATTCCCCGCAGTGAGGAAGTGGATATCGGCAGGCTTGAGGATGTCCCTGAACTGGGTCAAGTTGTTGCTCTGCTTGCCGAGAGAAGCCAGCTTCTGCTCCTCGTCGAGAACCTCATCGAAGCGGGGCTCGATCCTGGGCATGGTGTCAGCATCTATTGCTTTATATGAGTGGCAATTGAGAAGCTTACATGTGGACATAGGCAGGTCTTTGGCTCTCAGGAAGCCCGGCCAGGCGCTCTGAGATGTAGGTCCAGTGCTTGTTGGGGTCACTGTCCTTGGTGCCTTGGAAGTAGTTGTAAGGTGAGAGGCGAAGTCCAACCTTCTCAGGGCCGATAGCGGCGGCGACCGCCTCGACAACCTCGAGCAGGAATCTTGAGCGGTTCTCGATGGAGCCGCCGTAGGCATCCGTGCGGGTGTTGATGTTGTCGTGGAGGAACTGCTCAAGGAGGTAACCGTTCGCACCTATTGCCCTCATGAGTACATCTTCAACTTCATACCAGACGGTGTATCATACCGTGAATTTCAACACCGTCGAAACCAGCCACCTCAACGGCACGCTTGGAAGCAGCCGCCCACTCAGCAGTGAGAGCCTTGATCTCCTCCACGGTCATTGCCCTGGGAGGTCCATCCTTGCACTCAGTGCCGTCGAGGTACTTTCCGTCCATGGGCTGAGTTCCTGATGAGATAGGAGTCTCGCCTCCGCGCATGCCAGCGGATGAGGCTCTGCCAGTGTGCCACAGCTGAACATAGATGAAGCCACCCTTGGCGTGAACGGCATCTGTCACCTTCTTCCAGCCTTGCAGCTGAGAGTCTGTGAAGACACCCGCCACGCCAGGGTAGGCACTGGCATTGAGGCAGATGTCGGTGGCCTCGGTGATCTGAAGACCGCCGGCACTGGCGCGCGCACCATAGTACTGGACCACGCGGGAACCCGGGACATGAACTCCGCGAGACTCAAACTCGCTGCGCATACGGGTGCATGGTGCCTTGAAGGTGTCAGTCAGATGACCAAGGATTGAGGATGGTGATGGTCAACGTACCTGAACAATACGGTGCTGGAGGCTCAGGCCTCCAAGCTTCAACGGGGTGAAGAGGGCCGTGTCCTTGAGGGCGGCGTAGACCGGGGGAGGGGTGGTGGCTTTAGGCATATTGGTAGTTGATGACTAGGTATGAGTAAAGATCGAACGATGGTTATCTCTACTAATCTCAGTTAGATGTCCTGAAATGGTTGTGCCGTATTAAGCCAGTAAAGACCGTTGGAGAAGCCGGGTTTTGAGCAGTTGAGCTGAGGCTTGAATCCAAGCTGTAAAGCCACAACCACTCCACAAAAGATTGAATCTATTCAACTTCTCGAGATCATTCCGTAGATCCATTGCGTGCTAGCTCACGATTCCCCATCCCCCGGGAGTGGAAGTGGAGGCTGGGAGCACCCGACGTTGGGGTAGCTGGTGGATCTATCTCGAGAGTGGGGGACAACGGCCCTTGACCTTGACCGGGCGATACCCCTATCTCGACTACCCCAGACTGCCAGTCCACTCCCGCGCCATTGACGAATGGAAATGGGACGAAAGCAGTAAACCCACGCTTGATAAGCTTGGCCAGGGGCTTGTCAGGAGGTGGAATATGCAGGATATTCTCCGACCCCGCGTTTCTGGCGCGGCTTGCACGGATGTGACGCAGCTTAAGCTAGGTCATGTTATGGACTCTTCAACGGGACGAGATAGGAATTTCGGTTAGTCAACTACCTGATCTGAATGACTAGTGTCCGCCGGCTTGGTACCGAGTACGCGGGAAGAGCCCACCAAACGCTGTTTCCCCTTTCCTACCGCAAGGTTGATGCCTTTTCCATGCCAGTAGGACATTGCTTTAGCAGTTTGCTTGAATTCGATTCCTGCCTATGAAATTGGTGTCGCCACGATAGTGTCAAATACCCAACTTCTGTCAAATTCTCTTGATGCCAACGTGAGAGACCGAGGACTATTCCAGAGTCTGGAGCTCGGTCGATCCAACGCCTTGACGCTCGAAAGAACTTTGTGCAGATTTTATTCCCAATAACAGACCTTAAAAGGTTAGACATTGAAGGGGCGGGTATACCTGGGTCATGCAGCTAGCTGCTTGGGATTGTCAATTTCACTTTCACACACGTAAAAATGAGTGATAGTTGGCAAATTTGACCGTGCCATCTTCATTTCTGGTCCAGTATATTCATCCAGACGCGGTAACCGCGCGGAGAGTATCAACAAAGTAGCCAAGTTACATGTGGCTGAAATCAAGTCTAAATTACATTCATCAAATCGAAGCATGCCCGTGAGTCTCATAGGGCAAGCCGAAGCAGAACACGCCGACCACAATCCACAACGCAGCACTGGCGTATATCGGCACAGTGGTGTATCCGGCGTAGGTTGAAATGAAAGAAGCCACCAGACCACCAAGACGAAGTAGTGTCGAGGCGATACCCGTTCCTGTTCCACGGACGGGACTGGGGAATGACTCGGGCGTGAACGCGTACATCACTGCGTATTCTATAACGACAATTAGTAAACATCCCAGATGCCATAACAGGAATTTGACCTACCAAAGTTTCCAAGAATCGCAGTGGCACATTGAAAGCCGATATCCGCAGCCTCAGTGCCAACAGAAGTGTACGCAAAGAGGAAGACGCCAGTCAACACAGCAGATGCAGCCATCATCCACCGGCGGCCGAACCTCGTTTCCACGAGGAATCCAGCAGCAAGGGGGCCGAGGACTCCGGCTGAAGAAACAATGCAGTACACCATGTACGTGTGATCGAGCGACGAGTTGGCGGAGTAGGTATCCTTGGTCGCCAGATACGACGGGATGAAGGCGAAATAAAGCGGGTACGCGATACCGACGGTCAGCCAAATCAGGAAGGTGACAGAGGTATGCTGCGCCATCTTGCGACCGGCAAACAGCTTCTTGTAGTTCGCCCCGTTGTAGTCCTGGAAGCTCTCCTTCAGAATCTCCATGTAAGACAGCTTCGACGTGACGGGAACGGCATCGGGATCGACCGGCGCGTCGGCTGTTTGGCTGACTTCGGCGAAACGTCTGTCAATTGCCTGCAGCATGTCGAGGGTCATTGGCTCAGGGCGACCGTTGTAGCGCGCAATGTAGTTGACGGCTTCCACCGCCTCGGCATCGCGGCCTTTGGAGATAAGGAATCGTGGCGACTCGGGGATCTTGAAGACCAAGATGCGGATCAAGGCGAAAGCAATTGCAATACCGCCGAGAGTGATCATGAGATAGCGCCTGGAACATGAAACAGTCAGAAAACCCATCCCTTTGAAAAATTGGCAATTTCCACTCACCAGCCCATGTTATCCTGCATCCTGCAGGGAGCATCGCTCGCAGGGCAGGCAAAGTTGGCCAAGAAGACCCAAGCCAAAAGTGAGACAATGACCTGGCCCAAGTTCCACCACGCCGACAAAGTGACAAGCATCCACTGATGGCTCTGGGGAACGAACTCCAGGAAAACGACACTGTCAACGGGCACGTTGCCGCCCGCTGCGGTACCAATGATGGCCCAGAGAGCGCAGAAGGCCGTGAAGTTCGTGGTTCCCGCAACGGCACAGCCAAAGATACCACCGTACAGAATGGTAGCATTGAAGGCGGGCTTGCGACCGATCAAATCAGCCGTCGTACCCCAAAATGAGGCACCAACGATGAGGCCGACATAGTATGCGACCGAGCTGAAGCTGAGGCGGGCAATGTCGGTGAACTCATTGCCGATCGGGGGTCGAATGGCCGTGATGCCCTGCGACCAAAAGTTGTCGACAATCCAGCCAAAGCCGTTGACGACGAAGAGGATCCATTGGAATCTGTAGGAACGCGACCGGAGCCACTGTGGTTAGCCAACGGGACTACTGCCAGTCTCAATTGAGCACGGCGATCCGCTCGCTCAGACGCTAGAAACTCACTTTCCCATGCCGATCTCTCCGAGGTGTTTCGCGACGAGCTCGGACTTCAAACGGAACTGCTCGTTGACGGCGCCATTGTAGAAGTCGGCGACCGCCGCGTCCTCGAGCGACTCTGCGTCGCCGTGCTGGAGGGAGTTGGAGCGGGACTGCGTCAAGCCCTGCTCCGCGGCTCCCTTGCCGGTGCTCTTCTCGCTGACCGAAGCCATCTTTGGACAGGAGGGGAAGAGGTTGATGAGATGTGAAAGAGGGGGGAGGGAAAGACTGAAGGATCCGACTCTGCTCTCTCAAACAAAGACGGGAAACTTGCAATCTGGGAGTTGGTGACACAAGCTAGGCCCCGAGGAGACGGACGAACCTCAGCTTTATTGAGGACGGGAAGACACAGGTCCAAGGGTGTACAGGACGCCAAGCTGAGAGTGGTACAGCAAGCCAAGGGTCTGGTTCGACAATCACTTGACAGCTGACATATCGACGGTGATTTTGACAGCCCTTTGTCTAGGGTAGGAAAATACTCGACAGGGGCGTCTGCCGTGGCGCCGTCTGGGGGATCTTCTTCACCGTTGGCTCACCGATGAGTACAGAGTAGCCTGAGTGTGCAGTATTGCAGAGGGAGGTACTTGGCAGTAGGGAGAGGCCGAGAGATACGGATAAAGGTGAGAGAGTTGTGTTATCGGTGTGTCTTGTCTGCCCTGTAGATATGATCAAAACCTCGTGGGCTCTATCGCAACCCCAGATTGGCCTTGTTCAATATCGCATCCAATCGAAGCTCTAGGATTACGCCTGAAAGATTACGGGTCTCCACCCCCACTTTAGGAGGCACCGTCTCTGCCAAAACTTGCTGTTCGCCCTCATCCATGTATCGCTGCTGGGATGGCTCAGCCCGTGACTCCAATCAACTCTGGCATTGCCCGAGTTTTGACTTTGGCAAACAGGGAAAGGTCCTGAAACAATGCGCCCATTTGCATGCACTGGTGATTCATGCCTGTCGGGCGCGCAGCATTCCGGGGGACGAGCTTGCAGAAAACAGGGGGATTGTTGATGACGTAGGACACTAAGACATCGAAGACATGGAACTCTTGCAGCTTGCAGCCGTTCCCCGGACCCTTGTTGGCTGGAGGCGGGCCCGTATGGAGGCATAACCGGGGCATCCACTTGCACAAAACGGGTCGCGTTCCATGTTTAATCAAATTACCTAAGGGACCATGCAGATATTGAGTCTCTGAGGCCCCCCATTGATCAATTCAGGGTCTTCTCAGGGTCCGAATGCCATCACAAAGAGTCAGTTACGACCGAGATTCAAGCACGTGCTTTGGGATCTACGAGAAATCTCTGTTTAAAAATGGGCACGCATATGTGGCCCCCGTGTCGTAATGCCTGTGAGACCCTGAGATTCCTACCGCCCTACCCGCGATGCGCTTTATTTTTTCTCGCTGTTCTTAGGTTGCTTTCTCGGAAAATTCAAATTAGTTAGCTGCGGGGACTTGCAGAAATCCTCCAAAATAGTTGTCGAGCCATTGGGCGGCGGACTGTCCACTGGTGGATTCCGTCGTGTCCCATCGGCCAATTGAACCGACGTAGCCATCGGGCCTGACAATAATGATGGCAGCTTCGTCTGCTGCGAGCCCCCCAAGCCACTTGTCGGTGCATGAGCGGCCTTGCGTGTCGAGCGGCGCGACGTCGTCGAGGTAGACGGTCCAGCCACTCCTTGAAAAGACCGGCGGCAAGGACGAGATCTCAAAATCGTTCTTTTCCGCAGAAGCTGGAGATTAAGTTAGCACCGGCATGTGAATAGAAGGGACTTGTTACGTACTGATCAGAGCGAAGGAGCTCAGCTCGCTGACGGATGTGTACCGTTCAGGGCGCACATGCTGATCGTCAACTCTCCTCGCCCTGGGCTTCTCCTTGTATGATTGAGCGGCGGCCTTTGATAATTGTGTGAACAGGGAAGATTCCGACGCTACAGAGTCGTTGAAGCTAGTGAGGAACGACCTGGCTGGCGCGCTGGCAACCTTGTCTAGAACAGCGTAGATACGGAACTGTCCGAGAATGGGAATATCCAGTTGAACATCAATAGGGCAGGCATCGATGTAGCGAGTGGCCTTCGCCGGCGGCAAGGTGCAACCGGGCTTCGCAGCGCCTTGAACAGCGGTTGAGCGGTTGAGCTGATTCTCACCATACTCAACGCCGACGCCAGAAATGAAACGAGTATTCGTCTTAAAATTCTCGGCAAGACGCTTCGCATCGCCCCGAGCGATCTCGTTGGCATGCTCGAAATCAAAGTTGATCAGATCGTGGGCGATCTTCTTCCGTTCCTCTTCGTACGAGCCCAGCAAGATGCCGTCCTTGGCCACACCGCGTAGGGTGAGGTTGAGCTTCCAGCCCAGGTTCCAGGAGTCGTGGATACTTGTGTTCATTCCTTGGGCTGCCTTAGGGCTGTGCGTGTGACTGGCATCTCCGGCAATGAAGGCTCTTTGGGAGGGGTCGGTGAAGCGGGCGGCGACACGTTGCGCAACTTGGTAGTTGCCGAACCATTCGACTGAGCGCCAGTTCACGCTGTACGGGGCCAGAATCAACTTGGCCTGCTCCATGACATATTCTTCGCCGAGGTTCTTTGATGTTGTGGAAGCCTTCATCTCGATGTAGAAGCGCGTCATGTTACGCTCACGGGGGATGATGAGGATGGACCCGTGCTGTTCCGAGAAGACGACGGTCTTGCTCCAGATATCGGGGAAGTCGGTCTCCAGCTCACCATCAAGAACACCCCAGACGGATGTGTGTGGCGTTCCTTGTGCGTAGGTGTCGGGAATGGACTGACGAACACGAGAGCGGGCGCCGTCGCAACCCACGACATAATCAGTAAGAATTTTCGTTGGTCCATGTTCGTGGTGGTCGGCCTCAATCTGCAGAGAGCCATCTTCCAGCGTCGTGTAAGTCTGAAAGCTGTGGCTACGCTTCACCTCGAAGCCGCTCTTCCGGAAGTCATCGATGAAGACGGACTCGATCATGCCCTGATGGCACAGCAAAATGTACGGCTGGAGAAGGTCGACGACTGATGCAGGGTAGTGAATGGAACGGCTGATGCGGTGAAGGTCGGCATCGCTGGAACTTTGCCACATGCAGATGTCGTGCACTTTGACTCCATCACGAAGGAGCCCGTCGCCTAGACGGAGCATCTGGAAGGTCTCAATAGACTTTGGTTGGATGCCATCGGCACGACCGACTGTTGTCTGGTCGGGTCTCTCATCAATGAGCTCCACCTTTTGGCCGAATCTCGCCAGCAAAGAACTAGACGGGATGTGTCAGTCGCGGACCGGATTCCGGGGCTGGGTGGGGCACGTACCCGAGCATCAGGCCGGCGGGGCCGGCTCCGACAACGCAAACATCGGATTTTCCACCGGCAGCTGAGTTGCCGTTTTGGGGGTGTACCGAGTGACCGTTTGTGCCGCCATTGGTCTGCGGCGTTGCTGAGCTCGTTGTCATGTTTATTGTGTGGATGTGGTCAAAGACACTCTTGGAATTGCTTGAGCGCTTCTGCAAGACGCCCTTGATTCTATTCAAGAGTTGTAGGTTGGAGGGTTGTAATGAAGTGAGGCGTGGGAATGATCTAAATGATTGTAAGATAAACTCTGCCTTTCTTGTGGTGTTTAAGAGCTGAGATGAATGTCGCAGAATCCTCAGTTCGCAAATCGTCCAAGAAAACTCATCACCTCATTTCATGGAAATGGTTCGATGTTGGGTCGATGGTAAGATGTTCAAAAACAGTTTCTTTTGCAATAGAGAGAATGCCCTGTCGTTCCAAACTCACACTCGCGACTCGCGAAGTCGTCAGTCGAGCTTCCATGATGAGCTCCCACTTCTCCCACTCTCCAAGTCCATCGCGAGCATCTGGGCCACCACCATCCCCCACTCTCGGAAGGGTGCGCTGCACGACACCGTGCATGGCCAGGATGGGCCTGGAGAAGGCAGCAAAACCCGCGGGGTTACCGAGCAGATAAGAGAGCTCCCCGGGATTGCTGGTCTCCACTGATAAGCCCTACTCGGGGCAGCTTGCCGATTCTTGTCCGATCTCGCCGGCAGTCCAAATTCCCCGCCAGTGATTGGTCTGATTGGCCATTGTCGGCATCCCGACTTTCCTCGGGATACCGGATCTCTCCGGTAGAACGGCGCCGCGATAGAGTCATGTTGGCTTGTGTTGATTCTGCACAACTTTGACACGCTTAGTCTTGGAACGACCTTTTGCTCTTTTTTGGTTGTGTCAACTGCATGCGATCGGCCGAAAGAGCATAATGACGCAAGTTACGACTTCTAAGCCGGCGCAAACCTGGCAAGAGGTAGTTGCCAAGAAAAGACTTCAGAGACAGGAGGCGATCGCGACAGCTGTTCTGAGAGTATCAACAGACACGAGTGGCAGCAATGAAGGCATTACTGCCATTCCTGATGCCGAGGCTCTAGTTGAAAGGATCTCTCGGGGCGAAGTAAGCAGCGAGGCCGTGCTCAAGGCTTATATCAAAAAGTGCGTCTTGTCTCTTATTTGCTGTCATTCTCAGACGAGATTTCTCAGCCATGAAGGTCTCAAGTACTGACAGTCGAAACCCGTAGAGCCGTAGAAACCCATGAAAAGGTGTGACAATCCGCCTACTGAGTCCAGCCTAGATGCTGTGCAGATCATATGCTAACTTTATGCACCATGCTCACAGACCAACAGGTATGGTTCAAGAGTCTCTCGTTCACTTTTGTCGAGCTAAACTTCATCCTAGCTTGACCGAAATTCTCTTTGAAGATGCACTGGAGCGAGCTAGAGAGTTGGATGCTTACTTCGCGAAGAACGGAGCAGTAGTGGGACCATTGCATGGTGTTCCTGTCACATTGAAAGACCAGTTCAATGTCAAAGGCTTCGATTCAACACTGGGATATGTGGGCAGATCTTTCTCACCAGCATCCGATGACGCAGCTGTGGTCAAGATGCTGAAAAGCCTGGGCGCTGTCGTCATTGCGAAGACTAACTTGCCTCAGAGCATCATGGTGAGTCTTTCTTGATCCCAACACAAGCTGCAAAGGATCGCTGACTCTGTCCAATAGTGGTGTGAGACAGACAACCCTCTCTGGGGTCTCACCACAAACCCGCTTAACAAAGACTACACCCCAGGTGGCTCCACTGGAGGCGAGGCGGCCCTGCTCGCGACCCAAGCATCCATGCTGGGATGGGGTACTGACATTGGAGGAAGTATTCGCATTCCGTCTCATATGAATGGGACCTATGGCTTCAAGCCAAGCGTAAGTCGACGGTTCCTGTTCTTGTCGAGCCTCACCGACGGGCTTTCGACGTCACGTTACTTTCGACGTCACGTTACTGTGCGAACCTCAGCTGATCAGCAATCAAGAGCGCCCGACTGCCTTACCGTGGCGTCCCTGTCTCGACAGAGGGCCAGGAACATGTCCCGTCATCTATCGGACCAATGGCTCGCAGCTTGGGCACCATACAAATGACGATGAAACACCTGATCAACGAGAAGCCCTGGGAAATGGACTTTCGCTGCGTCCCAATTCCTTGGCGGGAAGATGTCTATCAGGAAACCCTCTCTCGCCCCCTGACGATAGGGGTGCTGTTTGATGACAACGTTGTCAGACCTCATCCGCCCTTGACACGTGTCCTTCGATCTGCCGTTGAGTCTCTTCGTGCAGCTGGGCATGAAGTCTTGGAATGGAACGCCGACTTACACGAAGACTGCATTCGAGTGATGGTAAGTGGAAAACTTCAAAGGGCCTCTTGTCTGCGATAGATGCTGACAGGAATGAAGGACTTGTACTACACTGCCGACGGCTGCGAGGACATTCGCAAAGACGTAATCGCCGGTGGCGAACCTTTCATCCCGCACGTTGAGCGTCTGATCAACCGCGGAAAAGCGATCTCCGTCTACGACTACTGGCAACTCAACAGGCGCAAGTGGGACATGCAGCAGGCTTACATGGAAAAGTGGAGGTCCATCCGGTCGCCTACGACTGGTCGCGCGGTCGACATTCTCCTGATGCCTCCGATGCCCCATAGCGCTGTGCCCCATGCCGGATGCCGCTGGGTTGGCTACACCAAGGTGTGGAACTTCTTGGACTACCCAGCACTTGTGATCCGTGGAGGCAATGTCTCTCAGGGCGATTTGAGCGAGTCATGGACGTATGAGACCAGGGGACCGGAAGATGAGTGGAACAAGAAGCTCTGGGAGGACAATGGGAAGGAGATGGCAAGTCTAGGACTACCGGTCGGACTGCAGATTGTTGGTCGCAAGTTGGAGGAGGAAACTGTCTTGGCTGCTGGTAAGGTCATAGATGATTTGATACAAGCGGCTTAGAACTTTGCTGCGTTTCGCTGAATAGACGTATGATTGTTAGAACTCCCGGGTCTAAGGCGAATGGTGGGATAATTGCTATGTTCTTAATTGAATTGGATGCACATTTCAATAAGACTAGAACTATTATGATGTATCGCATATCAAGGTATTCATCTACCAGACTACAAGTCTCATCCCGGTAATCGGCTGGGACTCTAGCGGAAGACTTGACCAAGGCAATGAGATTTCTTAGAGCAGTAACATTAGTCAGAACAGTCTGCATATTTGGACACTTGAATTACGTATTTGGTGTCATTCATTTCATTAGATGCATGTATGTACTACTTGGTATTGTCCACAGGCCGAGACCGAAGTCTACGCCTGTGTCTTCTTCCACTCCTCGTACTTCTTCATGACTTCTTCCCTGCTCGCTGGCATCAAACCACCTTCCGGTACCGGGTTCTTAGACTTGAACCAGTCGCTCATCTGGGGTGGAGTTAGATCTTTCTCGCTTCCCCAGTGTTGTGGCTGGTGTTGACAAGGACGACTTACCTCTCCCATAGTGACCCACTCAACACCCTCGTGCTTGTTGATGTGCTCAATAATGCGCTCGTGCATCAAGAGAACATGCGGTCTGCCCGAAACATCTGGGTGGATCGTCATCGGGAAGATGAACTCGTCTTTTGCCGCCAATCAGCATCAACATAGCTTTTCATGAGTGGGCGTGGAGCTTACCATATTCTCTGTAGAAGTAGTCGAAGTGGTCCCGCCAAATGTCTTCGACATCCCTAGACAGCGTGGTCAGCCAAGCCGTCAAGCACCTCCAGGGACGCTTCGGACTTACCTCGGGTTCACCCAACCATGAGAGTTGGCCGAGTTCTTCATGAACATCATAGGGGGCAGATCGTCGATGTACCAAGATCCTGGGATCTCAACCAGGCCCGTCTCCTTACCCTTCACCAGAGGCTTCATCCACTCCTCGGCCTTCTTGGTATAGTCGATCTTGGTCCAGGTGTCTCCCGTGCGCAGCCAATACGCCTGGCAGTCATGGTGGGACATTGAGTGGTCATACTCAATACCGTAGCTGAGCAACAGCTCGGTTCCCTCCTCACTAGTTTCCCACCAAGGGGCGACGCTGCCCTTGGGCGGCTTGCCACCGCAGAACTCAGTCAGCATCTTCCACGTCTTGTCAAGGACGTCTCGCTGCTGCTCGAGGGTCATGTCGACAGGGTTCTCGTGGCTGTACCCATGCAGACCAATCTCATGGCCTGCATCGCGCACCATGGCGCACTCCTCTGGGAACGTCTCCAGCGTGTGACCGGGGATGAACCATGACGCCTTGATGTTGTACTTTTCGAAAAGGGATAGCAGTCGGCGCGTGCCGATGGTTCCAGCCCATAATCCTACACGACCATTCACAGTCAACAAGTGTCCGCCAGGTGGAGATACCGCCATGGCAAGAGTAACGATGGGAGGACCTACCTCTGCTGATGTCGCTAGTGCTGTCCTCGCCACCGTAAGAGCCTAGCCATCCGGCGACAGCATCAATATCCACACCATAACTAACAAGATCGTGTCAGACGAATGAATCACTCCGCGCATTGCATTCTCCCTTACCATACGAGAACCTTCTTCTTGCCCATTGTATCGATTTGTAAGTGCGAAAGTGTTTGAAATGTTGATTTGTAATGCAAATTCCGTCGCTTGTCTGGAAGATAGCCTTTGGTACAGTGGCTTGACTATCGCATTTTATGCTGCTTCATTACATAGACTACATTCGGCAGCGGGAACATCCTCTTCCAAGCTGCGATAGGGAAATGTTCCATCCATGAGGAGTTGGGGGCGAGAATCCACAGGAGCTTTCCCCGCGTTCAGGGGTCTTTACCCACAGCTTTCCGATGCACCAGACCTTATCTGCAGGACCCCTCCATTCCAGCACTGCCTCCTCTGTTGTCCGCTCTAGTATGAAGATTTGTGAGTGTCACAGAACGCTTCATAGGGCCTATCAGAAGCCACGAAATCATAAGCAGATCTGTGAAAGAGGGGCTCCCGTCCAAGAGCTAGCGTTCATCCCACCTCCGGCGCACCGTCCCGGCCGGTGCCCCACCCCCATTCTCGAGCTCGCCCACTTTCACTCTTGATAGACAAGGATCAGCCACCCCTCAGAAGCTCCCCACTCACCCCGCGATAGGCTTCACAGTCGCTACTTGTCCGCGGGCCGCTATCCATGGCTGAATCTAGTCGGTTATCATCTTCCACTGTCGAACTATCCTTCCACTTTCATAGAGAGTTGGGGTGCGTGGATGTCGGGGAACAAATTCATGACTGCATAGGGCATGAAAATGGGTAGCGCACAGCTGTGTTGGCACCAAAGGTATGGATTGAGTGCAATGGGCTAGTTGCAGAAATATGGCGTAGGTGGGATGGAGGTGATGTCCGCTTCTAAGGAGATTCGAAACAGGCCCACAATGTCATGATGTTAAGTAATTCTGCTGATAGCGTCTGTGTACATCGTGCACAACATTGGCAATCACCCTGCTGTCCCTTGTCTAGATTCTCAACAGGTGTTTGCATCTCGAACGATCCGTGAAGCAGTTGCACCATCGAGATACCTCGTTGCCTCCCATCAAACCTAACCAAGTCTCATAAGACGTAAAACATCATGTCAAAGGTTCGTGCGGCCACCCTTGCTGAGTGTGGATAGACCTATGCCACGACAGGAAGCTAACCTACTCAGTTCTCGTTGAAGGGTCGCGTCGCCGTCGTCACCGGCGCCGGTAGGGGCTGTGGCTTGGCCTTTGCTCAAGGCCTTGCAGAGGCGGGTGCGGACGTTGCCATCTTCGACGTGATCAACCCGGACCCTACTGCGTTTGAGCAGCTGTCCTCTGCCAATGGTATCAAGGCAAAGGCATACGTCGTTGATGTCACAGATATTTCAAGTCTGGAGAAGGGATTCGCTGCCGTCGCTGCCGACTTCGACGGCAAGCTCGACATCTTTGTCGCATGTGCTGGCGTCAACAAGAATGTGGAGTTCCTTGACACCACCGAAGAGGATTTTGACAGGCTACACGGAGTCAACGTCAAGGGTCTCTACTTCTCGGCTAAGCTTGCTGCCAAGGCCATGATCGCGAATGGCACCAAGTGTGGCAGTATCATATTTGTCGCTAGTATCGCGTCTCACATGGCGATCCGGTCACAGAGATCGACAGCTTACTGTGGCACCAAAGGCGCTGTCAGAGCGATGGTTGCACCCATTGCTGCGGAGCTCAACAAGTACGGCATCCGTGTGAACTCCATCAGCCCTGGATACGTAAGGACTGAGATGACGGCACCCTTCCCACACCTTTTGGAGAGTTGGAAGGACGAAATCATGAATGGTCGCGTTGCTGAGCCAGACGACATCAAAGGCGCATGCGTCTTCTTGGCCAGTGATGCTAGTAGGTAAGTTGACATCTTCCCAGAGGGTACAAGTGAGAATGAAGGCACGCTAACAGCTTTTTAGATACTGCCAGGGCAGTGATATTCTGGTGGATGGTGGTGTAACGAAGTGGTAGCGATAGTTGAGTTAGATTTATGCTATTATGAATACGTCAATGATTGAGCATGTTTAAATACTTTTGAACCTCTTGGAGAATATGACTTTATGTCAGCGTACCATTTCTTCTAGTGTCAAATGAAGTGAACAACGTTCAAACTTCTCACTACAACCCCAAAGCCCAGTCTCGCCCTCACGTGTGGAACCCCTTGTCCTTTACTTCTATCTAAAGTGCCCTTCACAAATTCTATTTATGCAGGCCAGTTGTTGATTCGAGTCTAACTCAAATGAAGAATCTCCATCTCGGGTCTTTCTCGCCATCCCTCAAGTCACGAGTCTCCACATCCTGGGCCGTCAAAGTCATACCCTGCTCCTTGTTCTTCCTCGCATTCTCTCGTCTCATCCACATGCCGAGACACAACACGAAGAAGATGCACACAACATTGCAACCGGCAGTGGCAATCAATGTTGGCGCATAACGAGGCGCATAGGTGGTGCGGAATGTTGCTGCTGACAGAATGCCTCCTAAATTACCGAGACCAACGAGAAGGCCTGTCGTCGCAGCCCGGGAGTTCTCACTGAGGTTATTGTTGTTATGCCAACTATGCACCAGAGAACTCGGGATATAAGCCCCACCAGCTAGCAGGAAGCACGCAAAGTACGCCACGCCAACGTGAGCCTGTGCATCGATCGCCGCTAGCAAGATGAGACCTATTAAGCTCAGGGTCAAGCTCGCAATGATGTGAAAGGTTCTCTCTCGGTTGCGATCGGATGAGTACGTGACTGCCAATAGCACCAAGAAGCCTACCACATTGGGAGGTACCGTAAGGAGGTTTGTAGTGACGGTGTTGTAGCCCAGGCGCCGGATGATAAGAGGGAGGAAGTTGGCTGTTGTTGCAAATGCAACAGGGTAGGTCAAGCTGATGATGCACCAAATGGGGAACTTCCAATCACTCCAGGTGCGAAAAGACTCCTTGAGGCTGAATTTCTCTTCAACTTCCCGAGTGCCATCACGAAGAGACCTCAAACTTGCGACTTCTCTCTCAGCATCGTCCAAGAACCAAGCTGTTTGGGCGTTGGCTGGAAGCCACCAGAAAGCGACGATGCCGAATAAAACTGTCAAAGCGCCTAGGTCAAAGTTAGAAATTTCCTTCACATATAACCCTGTTCGAATTATCTCACCTTCGATGATGAAGAGCCACATCCACCCGTGAACGTGTGGGTCTTGAATGCGAAAGACTCCAAACGAGATCAATCCAGAGAACGCAGACGCTAAGAGGGCACTTCCGAAGAAGATGGCAATGCGGAAGCCCAGTTCACCACGGGTGTAGAAGAGAGTCAAATAGAAAACGGCACCGGCAAAGAAACCTGCCTCAAAGGCCCTTTTCGGGGTTAGCATTGCAGATGAGCGATTGGTGAGTCTGAAGCTTACCCCAAGATAAGGCGAATGGCTAACATGCCGCCAAAGTTCTTGCAAGCTGCTTGTAAAAGCGCCATCGCACCCCACCCTACCATTAGAGCCGGCAATATGATGCGTCCAGAGAATCTTTTGGTCAAAAGATTGAGAGGAAGATCACAAAGACCATTTGGGATGTAGAAGAGCAGGATAAGAAGAGAGTACTGCTCTCCCACGAAGCCCAGGTCTTTGCTCATGCCATCCGTTTCGGCATTGCCAAGATTACTCTAATCAAATGGAGTCAGAGAATTTGTAGCTAATACTAAATCACATGAAATTACTCACCCGGTCGACCGCATTGAAGAAGTACATGATGCTCATGAAAGGCAAGAGCCAGTAGTCCATCTTCCGAACTGCGGTGCATACATCGTAAGTAAAGTCGTACATATTAGCACAGATTATTGACAATGAGACATACCGTATGACTTCTCTACAGCAGCATCAATGACAACTTGTGACCCATATGCATGATCCCCCTGCTGAGAACCATCGGATGGCTTGTCGGTCCGAACATCTGTGGTGGACTTCATTCTGAATGACTTGAGAATTAGGTTTGCAGGGACCTTGAGCCTCATAGGTGAGAGTCATGCATATCCATGTTTACATATATATCAGTCAAGTTCCAAGTGCAAGTTGGTTGGTGTAATCCCAGACTAGAGTGCGGCGCCTCGTGCTGGGTATCCTGTGGTGCACTGAGCACGCCAAGCCAGGAGATATGAGATAAACGGCGCTATCGCAAGCCTTTCGGACACATGCAATCAGTAGTCTGGGGTATACATCCTTACAGCTGCATGAAGGCCGTACATGACGAGTTCCGTACTATCGGGTCGTACCATTGATATCATGGGGCGCCCGCACGACCTAACAAGAGTGGGGGACCGCGCACCCGAAGAATGGGAGTCTGAAACAGGGATTCCCCTCCACGGCCTGCAAACATCACAATGGACAGCTTCGAATGAGTGGCTCAAGGCATTTTATGATAGAAGACTCATGAAATTGCTACAGATATTGAATACAGTTGTTACGCCACAGCAATTTGAGGCGGCTGTGCCTGCTGCTGTGACAGAAGCTTCTGCTTCTCAGCCAAGGCCTTCTCCAAACCCTGCTTGTACAACTGGGCCCTTCCATATGATTCCGCGTAGGCTGCCGACACTGCTTGCTCGACAGTGACAGGGCCGAACTTGGCTGGCTGGGTGGCGGACTTGCAGGTGGGGATGCACTCGACCAGGTAATCCGGGTTTCCGGAAACGAAGACAGGGATAGAGTAGCGCTCCTGGCCAGACTTGTTGATGACCCGGTGGATGTTGCTCTTGTACTTCTCGTTGGTCCATCGGGCCATGAGGTTGCCCAGGTTGACGACAAACGCGCCCTCCGTAGGTGGGACCTGGGGTTGATTAATAACTGAAGCAAAAGTGGCGTGGGACATGCTGGCACTTACATCGATCCATGTCTCATTCTTCTGGTCCCAGACCTGGAGACCATCGACCTTGTCCTGAAGGAGCATGGTGATGGCACCGAAATCCGTGTGGGCTCCAATACCACGAGTGAGCTTCTCGTCCGCATCTGCAGGCTGCGATGGGTAGTGGAGCATTCTCATTGTGGCGACCGCACCGTCCATGAACTTGCTGAAGTAACTCTCCTCGAGATCGAGCGACAGAGCAAGTACTCTCATCAGATCGGAGGCCAGAGACAGAGCTGACGAGTAGTACTCCATGGATGCGGATCTGAAGGTCTCGAGCTCGCTTCCGAGACCCTCGGGCCACTGGTTGGGCCCGCTGTTGAGCTTCTTGTTGACGAAATAGGGGTGGTCCTCGGGGATCTCAGCACCGATGTAGAATCCCTCCTTCAACTCGGGCTGCGTGCCCTCTTCGAGGATCTGCGATCTCAGCATCTCGTAGCCGCGGTTCCAGCTGTTGTTCTCCTTGGCGACCTTTTGCTTTTCCTCGAGGGGAAGCGAGAAAAGCTTCTTAGCGTTCTCCATCACGGCCTTCTGCTGTTGCAGGGGCACGGAGTGGCCAATGATTTGGAAGAAGCCATTGTAAAGACAGCTGTCGCGGACCTGGTCCACAACCTTCTGCTTCTCGGCTGGATCTTCCGAGTAGAATGCTGCATGAAGAAACCGGTGTTGTAAGAAGACATGCTCACTAGATGTGTAGGCTTGCGCTGCAGGGTGAACTCACCTGAGAAGTCGATGATGGGAATCTCGAGAGGCGCCATGATGTGTTCCAGTGAGATAGACTCTTGAATAAGGCTGGTGTGGTATTGCGAAAAATATTCAGCTAGTGCTGTAGGTGGTGTGTCTTCAGATTCTTCAGCTTGAGTCTGTCTTTTCAAAGTAATTTCATATCTTCCATGCCATGAACGTCGGAAAATATAGTTCGAGATGTCAGATGAGACTCTTCATCATCTTCGTGCATCCATCATCGTTCGCTCTACAACGCGACTATTCGGCTTTCCGAACAAAGCTCGCCCTCGCGTGAGCATCAATGTTGAAGACTCGAAGAGTGGGGTGGCTCATAGATAGCGCCCATCCTAGACACTAGCATAGCGTCACTTGCCGCTCATGAAAACGACACATGGAAAGTATGTGTCAACAGAATGGCGGGGACGATAAGTGGCGTAGGGTGGCCGATGTTGTGCATGGATTCACTTCCGTTGTCGGTCCTCCCGTGTCACCCCCTGGCACCCACTTTCCCCTCACGCCGGAGAACGATAAGATGCGGCCCAAGATAACAACGGCATATGCAACCCAAAATAGCTCACAAGCCACATGTCTCGCATGTTAGTGACATCCACGTAAATTTCGATATCAAAGGCGAAGGATTGTCACTTGCCGAGAGGGCATGGTCGGCGGCCGGACAAGAGTCGGCTGTCGATTCGGCTGTCGGCACATTCGCGATATCCTGGAGATGCCATCACAACCTGACCTTCAATGTTTGGTACAATCAAGACGACGACTAAATCATCAAGGGAGAAAGTTCATTTCCAAGATTCCCCTATTCGGAATTCAAAACACAAGAAGACTTCCCATAGATAGTTTGATAAATAGGATCAATCTACGATTGTACAAATTTGAGGAATTCCAACGCTGGTTGCTATCGTCTAATACCGTAGTGATTACATGATGCTCACGACCCACCACCTCCATCACCAAGCCAGTTCCTGCCTTGCCCCGCAAGCTGCCTTCTCAAGCTCAGAACAGAAAGTCTCTTCTTCACTCAACTTGTTCGTGTTCATCTCCCCGAACAACTTCGGCGTTGCCGGCCAGATTTCTCTACCTCCTTGGTCCAACTCCTTTTTTCGGTGCGCCATGACCTCTTCTCGCAAGGTGTTCTGAAAGTGAATCGGGCCCTGTACTCATGTTAGAAGACCACGCAGACTCAGAAAGGTAAACATCGACATACCTTCTCCTTTTCGGGGTGTAGCTCGCCGTTGATGAACACCCCTGCGCTGAGGTTTTCCTGAGCTCCAATGCAGAGTTGCTTATCTTCTTCCAGCACCTGCTTGTAGAAAGCGTTGATAGCAGCAAACTCCTCGTCGCCAGCGTTATGGTGCCGGTAGACTTCATTCTCGATCCTTGTCTTTGTGGCGCTGACGGGAATCATTCGTTGGATGTAGAAAAAGTTCGAACTACGGCCAACGTCAATATGAATTCTCATGCAATCAAAGTCCGGGAAGTAAACTTACGTGATCGTTACAGATGTCGAAGGGAAGAAGAAGGTGATGGATCTCCTGAACTCGTCTTCTTCCTCTTGCGCCTTTTTGTTGATGATTTCATGCTCCAAACAGCCCCCGCTGGGCTCGACTTTGTACTTCGTCAGGTCTGAGACGCCGGCAATCAGGGGGTGTGATGTTGGACAGTGGTAACATTCGTTGTAGTTCTCGATCACCGTCTTCCAGTTTGCGTCGAGTTCCATTTCCCATACATGGTCGTAGTTGTAGCCACCCGCAAAGTCGAAGTTCTGCATCCTCGGCTTCTGGTATACACCACCAAATTCGTCCTCCCACTTCACATCAGGCTCCCCTGCTTGAAGATTCACCCAGATGAATCCGGCAGGATCAATCCGAACGTGTATGGGTAGAAGGCCATGCTGATTCTTGTCGAACCCTCTCACTGTGTCAAAGCGTAGGGCTTTGGCAAGATTGCCTTTGAACCCATACGACCAGCCGTGATATTTGCAGCTCAAGATGCTAGCTTTCCCGGTCTTGTTTTCAATGACAGGGTATGCACGGTGTCGGCAAACATTGTGGAAGCCGTTGATGTTGCCTTCTCGGTCTTGGATGAGAAAGAAGGGGAAGTCGGCGTAGTTGAAAGACACATAGTCGCCGGCTTGCTTGAATCGCAGGGAATGCGTGACTAAGATCCAATTTTTGGAGATGATGGCTCGTCGCTCAAGTTGGTGCAGTTCAGGAGATCGGTACCAAGAAGCTGGGAGGCTTCGGGAAGGTTCAGGCTTGGCGTTTTCCGTCCCTGATGAGAACCCTAGGTAGCGCCACATGTTGAAGGTTGAAGTTGGAATAAGTGGGTAAGGTTTTGGAGGCTCTGTAGGCCGTTGCAGATGCTGGGCTCGTGATTGGAACAAGAATTATGGATTCGCAGCGTTCATCCTGTCTGTTCACCAAGTCTTGGGATCTGAAGATTTCTTTAAGTCCATGGCCCAGGAACTGTAAGCCATCCCAGAGCCGAGTAGTTGCACCTATCGTGGGGTGGGGAAGAGGCTTCATGGCCACTGGATTAGTGCGTACGGTGTGAAAATGGGGGTGGGGGTGGAGGAGGCGGAAGGGCCAACTCTTAGTGTTTTGGGTGTCGATAAGCCGCAATCAGCAAAGATAGCACGGAATGACAACAACGTCCAGCTCATGATTTTTCGACCGCGGGGTTCATCTCGATTTGCTTCAAAATATGCGTGGCTGCCTGTCAGGCATAAAACGAAGGCATGTGCCGGAGGGAATACATGGGGATGGCGATAGCCGTCGGAGACCAGATTCGGAACGCCGGAGCGATCTCGGAGACAGCCCACCATGCCAGGGAGATTCTAACCCAGACACACTCTTTTCAGAGAGAAGCATAGTCTAAGCTACGTTAGGTCCCTCGCAAACGCCTCGTCGTTGAAATCCTAAATTGACTACCTACTCATGTAGATGTCATTTCAGGATCCTTGTTTCAACCTTTGAGCGGAGTTATGGAACTTCAGAAGTGCTGCTTCCTTTTTAATCGTCGACACGTAACCTCGTCTGGTCCCTCGTTGTCACGTGGTTTGGGACCTTGGGACATCCCTATTATACAAATTATAAGTCGATGGGAGCACCCATCGGTGGCTCAGTCGCAAGCTCCTCGCCACAATAGGGATGTCTTCCACTCCTCGCTCCGCTCGAAGTGTGGCGTTCGCTCCCGCTCACGCATGTCTCCGTCCATTTCATTGTCAATCCAGTCATCTCCGATGAATTAATTAGTCGCGTCACTCCGTTCCGCTTGCATCCTGTGCAGCACTCTCCCGAGTGAAGTTATCACCACAACTATCCAAACGTAATCCTAAGTAACCATCTCCATGAACATCAATCCCTGAAGTAAACACAATCCAACTCAACTATTTCTGAAGCAGTAGATCACTATCTCAATCCATGTAAGCATTGAACTACCTCCGCTACGCTGCGGTGTCACAGGGCTACGCCCTGTATCCCATGATCCGGAATCATCTCAATCTTTCTAAGGTTTCATAGTCACTCTTTACACAATCTAGTCAACCTAAGAGTACTCTCACTCCATCTCACTCCTATCTTCTTATCTGCTACCTGCGTGTCTCTACCTATGCTGGCTGTATCTATCACCAAAACTACGTGTTATCCTTTTCAATCACGTCATCCTGGTTTTCCAAGTCATCTGGTTACGCCCATCTCTGAATCTATCTACCTCTTGATCTCTGTATATTCTGCACCCGTCTTGCAGTTCTTCTGCTGCCTACCTCCTCACGTTCGGCGCGTGTCTCATCTGTCTCTCGGTCAGTCTCTATCTCAACTATTCCTAGCGTGCATACACTTACTCGGCCATCATCAATCTGTATCATCCCTTTACCTGTAATTCCACCAAAACCTTGTCCCAGGTTGCGAACTACTCCCAAGTGTGGCCTGTATGTGGGATGGATGCGGAAGTCCACCGGACATTCCGTCTTGTAGTACCAAAAGAAGTCTCCATCATCCTTCTCATTGACCTTGCAAAGGCAACCCTCCGGTGTAGGAAACCGCTTCGCTGTCTCAGTCTGCTCTACTGCCTGTTGTAGAGGTGGTGCGGGGGCATCTCCCGTGTTCCCCTGATCCCTGGCGTCCGTTGGCGTGTTCGAACTGCTGGCCATGTCTTCGAGGCCGATCAATCGTTGGCTGTCACCATCCAATAAGTTGCTGCTCCTCCCGTCGATCCATCGCGTGATACAATCACATACTAGTTCTGTTTCCGACGCCTGCCTGCTGGATTCAATCCGTAATTGTCCAAAGACAACTCAATAACCCAAGTATTGAAAGTAAAAGGAATTCTCCCCCAAGTCGAATTGTCAACGAAGTGTAAAATGTAAACTTGCTACCTCTAGGTAACAGCTCTTGCTGTTCTATCGCATTCTATGCTTTAAAGGCCTGACGTTGCGGCCATATCTCCACTGTGCGGTCGCCCCTGCTGCATTAGCTCGCCCCTCCCGGCTCGCCTGTCCAATCAGTCTCTGCTGCGCTCCCGTGCGGTCGCCGTCTCCACTTGCCTATTCCGGTCTCCACCAATCGACCGCCGCTCCCGCTCCTTCCCGCCCCCCAGGGCTCTGTTGGCTCTGCCGTCACTCCGTTCCCCCATCCTCTCGCCTGCTCGACGATGACACTGCTCCCTTCGCAAGCTCTGTCCGCCGACACGTTCCCCTCGTCCCTCCGTCCACTTCTAAAGGTGTCCAGTTCCCTCGCGCGCTCGGTCCACTGGCTTATCTAAGGGACCCCTCCTCGCTAGCGCTCGCTCGGGTAAACCTCGTGTGCACTCGGCTCATCCTCGTGTAAACTCGGCTGACTCACTAGCGTTCGTGCTCCACAATCGTTCCCCCGTGGGACCACGAGGTCACATGATTTGGGACCTTGGGACATCCCTATTATACAAATTATATGTCGATGGGCAAAGCCATCGAGGTGACTATCGTCACCAAATAGGGATGTCTTCCATCCTCGCTCCCGCTCGGATTGTTCGCTGCGCTCACTTTACGCATCTCTCGATGCTTTACCGTCTCCGTCTAGTAGTTAACTCCCGTTTATTTGCACCGAGTGCACTTGTGCATCCACCTCCGTGGGTGTATGGCGTCGAACGCCGTAAGTACCTCCTGCTGCTCGCTGGCCGCTCACCCGAAATGAAGCCATCACCATGCTTAGTCAATCCACATCTAGCCCAGCTTTGAACACCTCCGCTTCGCTTTGGTGTCACGGACTCCGTCCGTACCTACTTTCCAGAACTCTGACCATCTAAGGTAATTCAATCCATCTAAGTAAAACTAACTCCATCTACTCTATTGTTCTCATCAAAGTCACTGTATTCAATCATGTTTGTTCCATCTAGAAGTACAATCCAAGTCACTTAATCTACATAAATCTGTTCTTCATGCTCTGTTTAACAGCTCCATTGCGTATTTCAGTCCTGTATCAAATCCAATCTCAAACTCCATTGATGTACTATTGGGACATGTGCTGTTCCAGGCTACTGTGCTGAAGCTGCTGAAGCCAAAGGCGTCGCCGACCGTGTTCATGTTCACTGTAACTAGACTCTGTGTCAATAATCCACTACTAACCACTAAGTCCAAAGGTTGCTTACCACCATCATCCTGTGCGTAATTGAACTCCGTTTCCAATCCAAAGTCGAAGTCTAAAAAAGGATCATCTGTTCCTGCTGTGACCGACACGTCCAGTTTGCAGTCTATCGTGAAGCTGCTGTTCTTGGGTGCCAACCGTCTCGTGCTGGGCACTTCCACCAGTGTAGTTGTATCCGTTGGTGCTGGCGCGCTGTGCTCAGTGGTTCCTACACCTAAAAAAGACTCCTGTGTCGTGTTTGCGTTCCTCCGTGCACTCTGTTTCCTTCTCTTGAACGAGCGTTCTGCCTCTTCATCCTTATATCGAACACGCGCTTTCTACAAGCTTTGTAGTGACCCTACCGAGGGTGCACCCCTACTGACTGCCTTGTGCAGGGCTGCCGCCCACTGTTGAATAAATCCATCTACTGTCGTGCCCTTCTCGGGCCACCTAACATCGTCGATAACTCCTCGTGCTCCCGCTGCCGCCCAAAGGCGCTGGTTCCAGACAGTGCTGACTCTCGCCTTCTTGTTGAACACAAGTAAGAAGGTAAACCTGTTCTCATCATCCTGTGATGACTGGCTCCCCCAGAGAGCAACATTCCCACTAAAGCGTGCCTTCAAGGCATCTGTGAAATCTTCCAGTGATTCTCCCTCCTCCGGTCGGTACGAGACGTAAAACGCCTGCCTGTACAAGTGCGATCGCTGATCGGGCGTGCTGGCCATCCTGTCGCTCTGGCTCCAAGTGTGCTGTGTGTGTTCGTTCCACTGCGCGTAACCGCTGTATTCAAGGTGCCCGCACCAACTGGTTTTCTCAACCGGGGGACTCTCGTCCTTATGTAGACAGCCACCCAGGCCTGTCATGCGACCTGCTTTCCATCGCAGAGTCTATTGGCTCCCGCCCGCGTCCGCCTCCACTCACTGCCTCGCTTCGCTCGTTGCTCCTGTCCAATCGTTCCGTCGTCCCTCCTCCACTACTTACTAACAGCCGCCCCACTCGTTCCTCGCGGCGCTAGAACTAAAGGGTAAACTTCGCTGAAGCTCCGTGTCATCCTCGGTAAACCTCGTCCACTCACGTTCGTTCGTGCGCCCCACTGTTCCCGCGGCTCGTCTGTCGACGGCCCAGGTCACATGATTTGGGACCTTGGGACATCCCTATTATACAAATTATATGTCGATGGGCAAAGCCATCGAGGTGACTATCGTCACCAAATAGGGATGTCTTCCATCCTCGCTCCCGCTCGGATTGCTCCCTCACGGTCGCTGTCGCATCTTGCGATGCTTGATGTTATTGCTCTCGCAGTTAATTGTCAATTACGTCTACCGAATACCTACTACCGCACCACTCCGTGGATTTACAGCGTCAAACGTTGTAAGTACCTCTGGTGGCTCGCTGGCCACTCGCCCGAAACGAAGCCATTCCCGGCTGACTAAAGCACCATCTGCAACTGAAATCCAACTATCACCCTACTCTAGAGGGACACTAAACAACACCTTCAATACTCCGTCACCTACTACAACTGTCAATCTCAATCTTGTAAAAGCATTGAACTACCTCCGCTTCGCTGCGGTGTCATGGACTGCGTCCATACCTAATTACCGGAACTATCATAATCTTTTTAAGCCTAAAGCATCTAATCCATCAAAGTTACTCGTATCACCAAGTATTCTACTCAGGCTGACGCACTACTCAATACTCTCCTATATACACAACGACCCTACTAAGGTACTACTCAACCACTAATGTTTTCCACCTGGGTCTGCACACGCTTCTGCACCCCTCCGGGCGTTAATCTCAACCTGAAGTCACATAAACTCTCACCGTCTATCACTGCCGTCCACTGGAACCCATCCTGTTCTTTCTTCCACTCTGCTCTCGCGTCCATCCAGTATTTCAACGAAGCACACCTCTTCCACGTGCCTGGCTGCAACCAGTCGTCTTCTAGGTACTGCACAAACTGTCGCATGCTGCGATATGTCATCCGCTTTTTCCCAAGCTGTTTTCCAAACAAGTCATCTGCCCGGTCATAAAGCACCGTGGGCGACAGCACTCTAAACCCGTCACTCTGTTTCCGGCGCCTCTTGCCTTCCAGCAACAGTGATGCATGACCTAGCATGGCCTCGTACACCATCAAACAATTCCACGTCTCCGTGTCTACTCCGAAGAAATACCGTCTCAAGACTCGAAGGGCACTATCGTGCACCTCAGTGTACTCAAAGTACGCCGTACCATCTGACCTCAGGCTCACCGTGCCTTCCTCAATCCAACAACGACGACCTAGCGTCTCTAAATTGTCCAACAGTGACAATACTGCACGCCGCTCCGCGTCTATCTCCCGCTCTGCGTAAGTATCACTCCGATTCAAAACGCTACAAGCTTAAGTACTCACCAGCAACTGCTCTTGGGTCTCCGCCCGCTAACGTGTCGCACTGCTCCGTACTCATGGTTTCGATCCCTAGATCACACTATTCCATACAATACCGCGTCCCGTAAGTAGTGTACTCAACTCCCGTTGTAAATTGTCTCTCGCTCTCCAGTCAGCGAGCATCTCTAGATATAACCCTCTTGGTTATGCAATGATAGCAAAGGCTCCGCCCTCTTTGTTAATTCCATTAGAACAGTCTCCTTTCTCCATTCTTTGTCGTTCATCTTACTCCGTTTCGATCAGTCTTGCTCCGCTGCAGTCAAAGGCCGCTCTAGCGTCCCTCCTCGCCTCCCCCGGTCGGCTGCGGTGCCCGTCATCAGGTAAGCAGTCCGTCGTGCCTCCTCCCTGTCACCTGCACCACTCTCTGGTGATTCTCACCTCCGATTGGATATAACAGCAGTCTCCGCTCGTAAACTCGCTACGCCGCTCTATTGGTTCGGGATAACCTCGCTACACCTCGGTTCATCTTCGCTACGCTCAGCCACTCACGTTCGTTCGTGCGCGCTCGTCTGTCGACGGCCCAGGTCACATGATTTGGGACCTTGGGACATCCCTATTATACAAATTATATGTCGATGGGCAAAGCCATCGAGGTGACTCCGTCACCAATAGGGATGTCTTGCGCTCCTTCGTCGCGCTCCGGTTCACTTCGTTCACCGCGTCTCCGTGCATCCTGCACTCCGTCCACACTCGCTCCCGCTCGTTTGATGCTATTCCCACTGCCGTTTATTCGCATTCTCATGCACTCCCTCCGGTCGCATTAAATGAAGTTCTCACCATCACACTCTGTGCCAATTACAACCGCAAGCAACACTCTAATATAACAATTAACAAGTAAGACACTAACTCAACAGCGGTAATTTGACTTAACCTACCTGTCAGTTGCCAGTTCCACCTCGTAGAAGAAGTTGCCATTGTAGCGACAGGGAAAAGCGGGACTCTTCGCTCTAACTACAATGTTGTCCTATCAGCTCCTTCTACAAGACGATTCAAAGACAACACCCGCTCGTCGCCTAGCTTACACTTCAGTGATCTTTCAAGACTAATTTGAGTCCCTGAAGGTCGATTTATCGACACATGGTCTCGTATTGGTTCTCCGTCCAAAAAGCCCTTTGTGATAAATCATGACCAGACGTTCTACCAAGCGTTCATAAGGTTCCAAACTTCACCCCGAACAAGTCTGCGCTGCTCAATGATGACATGCCCGGAAACTGCGCCGACCTCCGAACACGTGCTCAACTTTCGATGCGGCTTGCGGCGATCGACGACCCTCGGTGCCTGGGAAGCCCAGATCTGATGTAAAATGCATAATTATGGGTGCGACACAACTCTACAGACAACTCGCGGGTGTAGTAACCGATGACCCAAAGATACGCCCTTTATGCAGTCATGTCAGACGACTGTGTGCATGCAGAATTGGGCAGCCAGGCGTCTGTAGTCCGCCATCGGGTAAGCATAAGCCCCATTGGTTCGAGGGTCCGGCTTACCTCGGTGTAAGGCTCTAGATCACGCCCAACTGCAGGCCGCAATAACTATAAATCCCCATAAGCACAGCATCCGACTCGGCCCGGTGTTGTGCCATCTATCACTTCCGGTCATATGACGATTTCTATTTAGGCTGGAATGACTCGGAATGGCTGGTGCGAATGAAACATGATTCCAACACACCAGCCATGCACGATCAGGCAGGCAGTGCCTGCGATGCCTACCCCAATGTGCAACTTCCTGTTCGCGTTTTGCTAGCCACACCCACATGAGAAGTCTGGAATTGTTGAGATCAATACAGGGTCCGAGACAAACTAGCGTGATTTGCCAATGGCAGCGTCGGTCTGGTCTAGCAAGGCAGTGTTGATTGCTGCCCATGGTTCGGGCATGGCTGCCTTACCGTTCAATAACGCGACCCTCCGTGGCCAACGAAGGGGTCTCATGCATGTCAATTCCAAAGTGACATTTTCCAATTCTTCGGCCCCCAACCAAGGCATAATGACGCGGGCAGTGGTAGCGTGTTCAGTATTTAATGACTTAATCCCCGCGATCCGCTGCATTTGTGAGCGTTTAAAAGAACCTTAGCCCTCCTTGCCCCATTTCCTTTCATAGCAGAGACCTCAATTGAACGACCTCAATCTCTAACCGGATCAGACTTCAGTGCCTGCCACTGCCTTTGAGCAAATATGGCGCCACGTCACAGCCATCATCGAAAGCATGCAATTAAAAAGGCTCAAGAAGATACTCCTTCAAAGCCTCCTCCGCCGCCCGCAAATCCCAAACCTGCCGCACCAGCAGCAACGCCGTACGTTGCCCCAGTTGCGGGCCCGTGGTCTGCCTGGACTCTTGATAGTGAAGAAAGGGGGTTTTACTTCAGAAATCGCGTAACAGCAACAGGTGTGTCTTATTTACATGCCGTGTTTATGGCACCAGCTAACAGAGGACTTTCAGGTCAAATGCAGTGGGAATATGCCACATCTACGCCTTTGCAAACATACGCCTATCCACAATTGACGGCAGAGCCGCCATCCTTCTACTACCGCCCCGTCGTAAATCCTCCCATGCAACCTGCGTACGACTACACGCCTCGATATCCAGTCAATGTAGCCGCGAATGATGTCCAGTCTAGCGACGCTTCCATGTCCGACGCTACGTCTGACTCTGAAGACTTTGACGTCGCTGCTGCTAAGCTGGCAGGATTCTCGATTCCGGCAATCATCGATGTGGATTCGAAGAAGATTGAGATGCGACTTCCGAATCTTCGATCTGGCGACACCACCTTTGTCTGGGACCGAAAGCATGGGCATTCATCCAAGACAAAGATCTACTCAGATACAGACTCAAGGGTCGAGGAGTGGCTGAGGAATGAGTTCAGTGTTTAATGATGGCATTTTATCGCGAGTTGGGATGCTCCTCTATCCACCTAACGTTTCTTTGCTTAAATAGTATGTCCAACTTTCAGCGCATGTATAAACGTTCAAATGTTTCAACTAGTAGATAATGTCAAATTCATTGCCTCTCGAGAACGTTCTGGTGATATTGCCTGACACAGGCCAAATAGGATTTTGATTATTTTCATGAGACTGAGAAAAAGATAACAATCTGGAGACTTCCTCGGCCGCTGTCTGCATTCCATTTAATTTTCATTCAGATCAAATGTTCATGAACTGCCATTATCCATCGTCCCTTTTCTGCTATCCAGTATCACGCGCTGGTAGTATCTGTTGTGGAAGGCTTTTCTCGTTGCGGCAGACTTCTTTCGCCGAGGTCAGCCTTGGATCCTTCGGCATCCTTGGGTCCTTCGGTGTCATTGGGTCCTTCAATGTCCGTGGACTTTTCGCTTTCCTTCGGCTGTCCAACATCCTTGAGTCCTTCAGCGTCCTTGGGTTGTCCGATATTCTTTGGTTCTTCACTATGCTTCGACCCTGCGTTATCCTTAGACTGTTCAACGTCCTTGGGTTGCCCGACGCCCTTTGGCTTCTTCCTGCCTTTTGGTTTCTCGCCACCCTTCGGCTTTTGGCTGTCCTCAGGCTGTTGAGTGTCATTTGGTTATTGGGTATCCTTTGGCTGTTCGCTGTCTTTTGGCTGTTCGCTGCTCTTAGATGGGTCGCCATTCTTTAGTTGTCCACTCTCCTCGGCCGTCCTCCCCTCATCCTTCTCGTCCCCGGATCCGCCCTCATCCCAACCAGGTATCAGCTCGTTATCAGCTTCTCCCTCCTCTTCAGGGTCCCAACCCTTCAGAACCCGTCTTGCCGCATCTCTCCCGACAACGGGCAGCCTTTGCACTCCGTTCTTGCGCGCTTCTTCGGGTACTAGATTCGGATCTAATAAGCCAACTTGCACCAGAACACTAGCCTGGTCCCAGTACACATGCTCGTGGTAAAGCTTGCCTCCCCTCAATCCCACGATGCTGACCACGAGGACCTCGACCCTTTTGTTCGTAGCAGGGACACCGGGTAAGATCCAAGGCATCTCCTCGGTGTGCTTGAAGCGGACATGAACCTCGTCGACGACTCGATCAGCCCCAATGGTGCGGGAAATCAATGTCAGTCTCATTGATGGAGGATTGCTGAAAAACTGAGAGTAGAAGCGTTCGAGCTCTGATGACCCGATTCCTCCCGTCAAAGTCGGGATATGAGTGACGTGTGGGCTCTTGTGTGTCGTGTACGATGAAAGCGTTTGGTTCAGGTTTCGGGTGAAGAATTTACCTGCACAAGTCAGCTTGGCCCGCTGCCTCCATCTCTCTCGGATACTGACCCTGTACGTTCTCCTCCAACACGAGCTCCAAATCCGCGTAGGTGTTAAAAGCTTTTCTTGCCGCGGTCAAGCTTCGGCTCCACGCCAGCTCGGCACAGATTTTGTCAAAGTCGTCAAGGTCATGCTCGGCGAAACCAGGCGCAGCGTCGTAAGTGTAGGTTGGGTAGGCAAGTTTCAAGGTTCCTCCTGTGCCGATGCCGCTTTCCACTTTCTTCCGCGTTGTTCGCCTCTTCCCTTGAATCCCAACCATCTGGGATCGCTTCGTGATGCCAATCTCCTCATCTGCGGCAAGATGAACGAGAGCCGAGATGCTGCTGGGGAAGTGCCCTTGGGGGTCTGGGATAGCCGTCGGATAGTACGCGATCAGCAGCCCGAGTTTGAACTCCGGGTTGTTGTCCAGAACGTGGTAATGCTCCAGGCACACAGCAGCGGCATCACCGTACGCTGCTCGTCATCAGCATATTTATCTCATAATACGCGCCATACTGGTTCACTGACCGACGATACCAAATGTCTGGCATGGATCCATCTTCTTTTTACTCAAAGATCGTAGCTTGCCCCGATACTTCTTCGGGTCCCCCATGGGCAGATATTCGACTTCGAAGCCCTCATCGCGCCATTCAGCTAAGGTCAACTCATCGAACTCGTCACTCTCTGCAGTTATGTATAGCTTTGGCCGCGAGCGAGGAAAGCCCGATGATAGAAAGTTGACATCTCTGTAATTAGAGCGGGTCCAATTATCTGAGACGATGCGCGCGTTGCGACCTTCTGATTCCGGCACTGCCTTCTTGACCAGATCCGGGATGTCAATGTTCATGATGGATATGTCGTTACTGGCTTGGATTTGAAAACAAGTGAAATCAGTAAATTACGCACGATCATTTCCCTGAGGGGGATTTCAATTTCCTGTTAAGTACATGAGACGAGTGCTGGGTTCGCGTGATGATGACGTCACATTTCGAATGTGCTTGGTCTCTCCATGTATGATATCAGCGGGGTCACTCACAACACTGCGTGGAGTGATTTCAGGCTGCAGAATACCAAGTTTACACTGTGGTTCTTGATTGAACCTTCTGTCGTCTTCTAGTTCGCTCATTCTAGAGTATTCCGTACTGCGAAAAGCAACCTTAACAGCTGAGCATCTTGTAACAAATCCCATTCTGTCGCCTGTAACAATCTAATCAGCCGATTCTAGCCGGCCGCCACGCGTCGATATTTCCCCCACGAGACTCGATCTCTTCCTGGAGCTCGTCACTTCTATCCACTCCTGGGCCACCCCCGGCTTCGGTAATCAGAGGTGCCAGGTCGTTTGATGCTAGTTCCAGGGGCGTGGTACCAAATTTCGATATGTTTCGAGCATCGGCACCCCAAGAGAGGAGCAATCTTACCGCCTCTCGATGTCCATTTTCAACAGCTTCCATCAAAGGAGTCCACAAGTCCCACGTCTTTGCATCGAGCTCGCTGCCTGCGGCACGTAGCAGTTTCAGTATCTTCGTGGATCCGTCGCGTGCAGCTCGGTAAAACGGTGTTGTGCCCGAATCACTGCGAGCGTATGGCGATGCCCCGTGTTCTAATAGCAATTCGACCATTTCTTCACTTCCATGTTCTGCAGCCACGTGTAGAGGCGTCAGCTGCCTCATCTTGTCGGGAACGTCAACACCTGCTCCTCGACTCAGGAGGTGACGTGCGAGCTTGACGTTGTTCATGATTGCTGCGACAAGCAGACAGGTGCTTCCGTCGGGAAAGTATTCATTGAGGTCATCCAATGTGGGAAGTAGTGCTTCAACCAAGACGTGGAGATCGTTTGCGATCGCGTAAATGATGGGGGCAGCGCTGTGGCGGGCGGCAGCCAGGCCCGGGCTTGTTCTCAAAACAGCCTGCCATAGTTGGTATCTCTTTGGGCTTTCAGCAGGGTTCAGAAACCAGTACAAATGCCGCTGAAACCTGTGAATATCGCTTATGCCAGACATAAGGCTACAAAGCCGCATGTGCGTTGCCCAATTCATGGCCGCGTAGTACAGAAACGAGTACTTGCTGAGAAAGGCCTCGAAGTCTCTAGGATCTTCAGGCACATCGCGATCGAAATCGGAGAAGGCAAGATACTGAAGACATCTTTCCGCTGCGAACGCATGTGCATCAACTTCACTGAAGTAAAATATGGATGCCGATGTGGCCAGGATGTCAGAGCCCGTAAGGAATTCCTTGACCGTTGCATGATGTATTTGTACGATTGTTGCGGCATCCGAACGATATCGTGACGTCTGATAATAGGATACCAGCTGGACAAGTGGCGCAACAACGTCATAAGGGTCTGTGACGATCGCGTCGAAGTCGAGGGCGGTGTCGTTTTGGTCAATAGACGTAACCTCCGCTAAGGTTTTCCCTGACAGGGGCATCAAGCCAATAGCAAGCCACTGTAAAACCTGCTTCATCTCGGACTTGCGCTGTGGGTATTTCTGGAGAGCAGAAACAAGTATTCGCTCATACGTAGCATTGAGGCCATTTGGGAGACTTTGTAGAGTCTGTCGTAGCTCTCGGTCAGTTCTTGTCGCTGTAATGTAGTCCAGCTGGAGGTTGGCTTGGAGGAATCTATAAAGGTAGGTTGTCAAATTTTTGCTGGATGGGAAGGGGAATTATGGCATACTTACGTTCCAGCTGTCCGAAGGATATGATCTCGGATAGTTGACACCAACGCTGGGTTCCCGACACGAATTCTTCTTGATCTCAGTCTTTCCTGCAGCTCGGCCCAGACAAAGTGCGAAAGGTCCGCGTGGAGTCGGTTTCCTTCCTGCGAGTCTAGTTTCCATAATAGACATTTACACTCGTTTGCAAGTTGCGTCCGAATATATGCGTCCTCTCTGCTCGTTAGAAGGACCTTCCTACCTCTGCCTATTTGCGGGCCAGAGGCTGCCGGTCGATTGCTGCTGATGGTTGTTTCCGCCTGCATCCTCATGAATCGACTCAAAACTGCCACGAAGGCTTCTTTGTCATTCATTTCCATCCCTCCGACCTCGTCAAGAGCATCTACGACAATGAAAACCTGATGGTACTCGTTCATGAATGATTCAACGAGAGTTATGTACTCGCCTATCGTAAGCGAAAAGCCGTTCTTGTCTTTCTGTCTTTTTGAGGCAATGTCAAAACACCTCTGCGATCGTGATATGAATTGAGCGGCAATACTCATCAGGAAGTGAAGAGCAGCCTTTTCGCTTTCCTCGAAACTGCAAAAGAAGTATACCATGATTGCACCAGGCAAATGCACCCTGGACGAGAGAGCTTCAACCGCCGTAGCACTGTTGTCTGAGTTAGTAACGCAGCAGGCGGAAGCCTTCATCTCTTACCATAAGACGGATTTTCCGGCGCCCGCTGATTCACATGTTATTCTTTCCTCCCAGGTATAGGTTAGGCTGTAGCGATGAGCTTACGAAGTCCGGTGATCCATAATAATTCCCCTGACTGGTCATTCACCCAGTTCCCGAATGCCTCGGATTCTATGAGCCAAAGCCCACTTCCAGGGTGCCGTCTACTCAGAAGGTCTTGCAATGCATGCTGAGTTTGCAAATGTGCCACCGGACAAACCCAAGAAAACACTCTCTGCCAGTCTGCCTGGTTAACTGTTTCCTCGATTCTATCGACGGCCAGTCTGAGAATTTCCGGATTAGTCGCATCGCCGCTATGCTGCAAGTAATTACCATGTCTTACGCGGTATTAGTCTCCAGAGCAGTGGAAAGGGTTTCCTTCATACGCCGGAGACGATCCAAAGACTCTTGTACTTCCTTCTGCGCACGTAGAGACCATGCTAATCTCTTGGCGATATTCCTGACTCTTTCGCCGTCCTCTCTTCTCAAGGAAGTCAGGGTCTGGTTTATCGAATTTAGCAAGTGATTGCATTCGTCAAAAACCCCGATATCTTTCAAACGAAGCAGAGCATTCTCGTGAACCAAGGCTGGGTTGGCTGGATGGCTCAGATCTCGCAGTCGACTCAAAAGACAATCCAAGGCTGCGGTTTCCGTAAGGAGCTGGCGGATTTCTGTCGGTGCGCCAACGGTCTTATTGAGAAACGCGTAGCCTTCTGACAAGATCTTAATAGTCAGTTCTGTGAGCTGGATGGAAGCTGCAGCAATTCCAAGTATCTCAGCCATGGCAGTATCAGGAACCAAGCTTCGTGTTGAAGAATTGGTACGAATGCCACATGTCGACAATCACGATGAGATCAGAAGAAGGATGAGATTTGGCGGGGAATGCGAAGATTATGGCTTTAGTCCGGGCCGTCATTGGCACGCCTGCATAGGCATACATAACCTAACCAATCGCGAATCTGCTCACGTGAATTTCCTGCACATTTGTGGCCCAGGTTGCACCACCTTAGGGCAGCCTGATGCCTCACCAGAAACCGAGCAACAGAGAAATATTTGACCGTTCTGTATGTCACACCATACACGTTATCGCTCACTACAGGCGAGATCCAGCCTGATCACATTCTAGACCCACAATATCCGTTAGTCCAACAGCCACATGCAAGCCATGCCATCTTTCCCACCCGTTGAAATTGAAGACCACGTGAGAGAGCAGTGGCTGAAGTTCACCCGAGATCCTAAATAAGTTAGTGCAGTAGTGTACTTGATAGGTCGACAATGTGCTTATGAAGCAAGGCGGAATGCAGTAACGTAGAAAACTTCGCAGATGCGCCCCTAGAACTCAGCTGCTGTCTAATATTTATATCCATTTTTGGCACTTCTTAGCCCGATCGCAATTACTCCCTGTGTTCATATATTGCGGATGCCCTTTTGCCGTTGTAAAAATAAGACCAAAAGCTTAAATCTTACTCAGATTTTGGTTCTTCGCTTGTCTTCGAAGGATTCTTACAAAGTTCTTCTTGCTGTACTAGTCTGGTATTTTGGGAGGGGTTCTATCCTTGATGAGGCTAGACGTTAGATTGGCGCTTCCTTACCGGCAGTCATCTGGACTTTGGAACGTTGTCCGGATGAACCAGTTTAAGTCTATAAAGTCTAATTTAATCCCTGGAGACTTTTCGCCGGCTCTGGAAATATTGTCTTTCCACAATCTTACCTTCGTTCTTGAACCTTTGTAAAGCTGATTCATATGAGCCAATCATGAACAAAAGTCGTTCGCCGTCGGGGTTCCGCCCCCCTTCAAAAGGCCAAACACGAACAACTTCACACGAGGAAATCCTATTCCCGAAACTGTACGAAGATGCTTGGGGTACCGGCGGACCCGGCGACAGCCGCACTGATCTGGAAAGAGCCAAGATCTTTCTGCTTCGCTTCGCCAAGATGAACCCAGACCCGGTCTTCAGCTTCGAACTGCAAGCCATCGCGACAGACCAACAGTACCGCAACATTACAGCGTTGGCTCTCGCGATTCAAACGAGGATATTCGGCAATCGTCATCCCAGTTTTGCCCCTGCGCCACTGCTTCAATGTGTCCGATTTATGCTCGTCAAAGCCAAGGTGCCGGACTTCATGTACTCCGACAAAACCAAAGTTGTGATGGACTTCTTCTTCGACCCAACGATATTCAGAAACGTCGAACCTCTGCCTGTGGACGCAGTCATATATAAGTACCCCACAGGACGTCTCAAGGTTGCCATAGTTGGTGGAGGTCCCACGGCTCTGGCGTCAGCCATCTCGCTCGCCGAAAAGGGTGCTGGCATGATCCAAGTCCACGTATATGAAAGGCGCTGGGTGGTCATGGCAGGCCCGAACGGTACTTATGTCGACTATCCGCTGACCGCAAGGAGACGCGATCAGGTCGTCACGCTGCAAGAGTCAGTCACGACGTTGATGAGCCAGGCAACGCAGCAAGCACTTTTCGAAGGGCGCCCCGAGTGTGTTTGGCCTGGTTCAGCCAACATTCAGATCCGGAAGGTCGAGGATCGGCTGCTTCGAAGATGCCATGCGCCTGAGTTTTACGACCTGATACACCTTCACGCGGAGGGCGTTACACGCGAAGACTTGTACAAAGTTGGTGACTTCCATGTGCTCCTTGGAGCAGACGGAGCAGCATCTTGGGTCCGGAAGTCTTATTTCCATGGCTACGAGAACGAACGCGGAAGGAGTTATGCCCTTGGCTTGGCATTCGATCGGCCAGCTGGGCTTCCTTGGTCGCAACCTCTGAACGTGTTTCTAACGTTGGGCCAAACCCGTTATCTCCTCAACGCCAGTGACTTCGATGGTCGCGGGTATCTCAACATGCAGCTCACCGAGGAGGAATGGCACAAGATGCTGGCTATGGATGGTCAACCTGTCACTTTTGGGTATCCAGGATGTCTACGACGGCCGGATGGGACGATCCCGCCTGGCTTTAACGAAAACCAAGTTTTCGCACCGTCGGAGAACAGAGGAGGTTCGCTGTGGAGGTCGATATCCGATGGGTTGAAGCTTTTCGGCTTCAAGGAGAGCGAGGTTATCAACGTCGTGCGCATCCCGATTGTGGTTCAAGCTGTGCGCGAAGGCATCCAGTACCTCCCGCCATCAGATTCAGCTTCTATCAACCGGCCTCATGCCCTTGTCGCAGTCGCCGGCGACGCTGCTATGACGGTGCACTTTTGGCCAGGTCGTGGTCTCAACAGCGGTGTTAAGTCTGGCATCGCCCTAGGAGATGAGATTGTCCACGCTCTCAATGCGGGCAAATTCGTTGGTCTACCTCTGACGGCGATGCAGCAGTACAACGACTTCATCATGAAACTCCAGGATCGTGAGCACGATAAGCGCAGCATCCCTATCCTCAACCAGTCGGGAACACCGGAAACGCTTGGATGGCTCTTGAGCAAGGCGAATACAGTACCCGACAACGTCGCCATTGAATGGTTGATCGGAGCCATGTCACAGATTGCAGAACGTCTAGAGCAACGAGGAGACTGGGCGTTTCAGCCAGTAGCAAATGTCGAGCCACAACTTCGAATCGTTCTTCGACAACTCGACTCTGAGACGTTGAGGGAGATGGCAGTCAGCTTCCCGTGGCCGACGAGGGAGATGGGCGGCGCGGAAGTCCTACCCCTTCGTTCGATGAAGCCCGAAGAGAAGCAAAGGTGGCTTCAACAGCTCCGGGGCCTATTGCGGGATGAAGCTCAGAAGAAGCCTTCGTCCCGCGGCGATCAAGGCCGCTCTTCTCGGTTCGAAGCACCTCGTGGGGCTGCTCTTCTTCCTCCGCGGGCAACCTCGCCGTCCCCGCAGTTCCTTGCCCCGGACGCGGGAAACCCCACTCCAAATCGGTCCGAGTCGAAATTGCGCCGGAGCAACGCGAGCCGGGGTGTCTCCTCTCCTGGGCCATCGGAGAGGAACTTGGCAGTTCCCAACGGAGATCAAAACATTCTGCGGCCACGCTCACCATCTGCTGGTGGTGAAGTGCCTCTTGGAAGACTTCTCAGTGTTAATCAACGGCCGGGGCGCGCTATCTTGGCTGATGCCATGTCCCTTGCTCTTTTCCGTGTTGAGGGAGACCCCTCAATGTAGTGTCATGTCCACATGATACTTCAACAACCAATTAAATGCGAGATTATTGTGCACGGCCGGGAGCTTCAACCCCGCCCGATGATTACGGCGCTGATAAGGAGCGCCGATTCCGCTCTCTCCTTGCCGTCCGTCCGCCGAAGACGCATTCCTTAAGCGTTCGCAACTCCTTTCGACGTTGCAAAGTCACTCAACAAGTCTTTGCTTGAGGTTTATTCCTGAAAGTCGATTCTTTAGATTCTGCAGCCATGTACTCACCGCGTGTCGGCGATGGCCTCGACAGCCTGGACACCCCCTCCATGATCGTTAACCTCGATCTTATGGAGTCCAACATCAAAAAGCTATTCGACAATTTTCTGCCTACTGGTCGCAAAGTACGACCTCATATGAAGACCACAAAAAGCGCTGTTCTTGCCCGCAAGCTGGTCGCCGCCGGCGCAACGGGCTGTTGTGTGGCGAAAGTATCTGAGGCGGAGGCCATCACCGCGGCCGGTTTCGATGATATTCTCATCACTTGCGAAATCGTCGGTGCTCCCAAAGTGAAGAGGCTTGTGGAGCTCTTCCGAAAGCACAAGGACATCAGAATTGTGGTGGACAGCGAGGTGGGCGCAACCGCAATCAATGACGCCCTGAGCCAGTCTGGCATCGATCAGCCGTTGACTACCCTGATTGATCTCGACGTGGGACTGCACCGAACCGGAGTTGCGCCTGGAGAGCCGGCCTTGGCTCTCGCGAAGCACATTGCGACGCTGCCGCATCTGCGGTTGATTGGTGTCCAGGGCTACGAGGGGCATCTTCAACATCTTCACGACCGTGAAGACCGCAAGAAACAGTGCCTTGAGTCGATGAAAACGCTGGTCGACACTGCAGAGCAACTGCGAAAAGAGGGGTTCACTATCGACGTTGTCACCACTGGAGGAACAGGAACTGGGGAGTTCTGTGCGCAGGTGCCCGGTGTAACCGAGCTACAGCCCGGCTCTTTCATTTTCATGGACACCGATTATCGAAACGCAGTTGGCACATTTTACTCGAATAGTCTTACCCTTTTGGCGACGGTAGTCAGCAAACAGGGCGAACGTCAGGTCACGATTGATACGGGCCTCAAATCCTTGACGACGGACAGTGGACTGGCAGAGTGCAAGGATTCCAGGTACAGACATGCGAATCTTGGCGATGAGCACGGCTCATTGACGTGGGACGAGGGAACGCCGGCGCTTAATGTGGGAGATCGGGTTGAGATGATTCCCAGCCACATCGATCCGACTATCAACCTTCACGACTTCTACTACGCACACAGAAATGGGGTTATTGAAGAGATTTGGACTGTGGACTCAAGAGGAAAGGTCCAATAGGAACAGTAGGATGCATAATGTCGAGTTTATTTGAGATCCCATGACCAGCACCAAGAACCCATTGAAAATGCAATTCCACATCAAATAGACTCCTCGACAGATTTGATCTATGAGGCGCTTACTCATGCGCTCTCGTGATGCTGCGTAACACCAGCTCTCTTGTCGTCTCCGGATACAAAGGTATCAGTAACCCTTGCTGACTCTCCGTCGAAAATGACAGCCATCTCCTCCAGCGTGTGACCCCTAGTCTCGGGGTAGAAGAAGTAGATGATCACCGTTCCGATGATCAGAATAACAACGAACACAAGGTAATATTTCCAACCCATTGCGTCAAATGCGATCGGATTAACGAAAACATTGAAGAAAATGCCGAAATATGTAGACATTTGCGTCAAGGCGGTGCCGCGGGCACGCAGCTGGTACGGCCAGATCTCGGCGGGGTATGATACGATAAGGGGTGTGCTGTGTTGGAGGTTAGCGTTAAACAAGAAACAAATTCCGAGGTCGCAGGAAGGGTGATGCTTACAATGCGATGTCGTAGAAGCTGTAGTAGATGTAAAGGAAGGGAACAACTGCAAGACCGACCGATGCCTTTCCTGTCGTGGCGAAGCCACCGTTCAAACCGGAAAGGATGATGTAACTGGTGAGCATGCCCAAAACACTGGTGAGGAACAAGAAACGACGGCCGACTCTGTCAACCGACATGGCCGCCGAGACAGCCATGACCAGGTTCCAACTCTGCAGGCAGCCGTTGATGATGGTTTGGTCCGTGATCGACGTGATTCCGACTGCTTTGAGGACGTCTGCGAGGTAATAGCTGACCAGGTTGTTTCCGCCCTAAAGTTGTTAGTATAATCCTACTTATGCGACTCTGTCCTCTTACCCATTGAGCCAGCAGACCAAGCGTAATCGAGATAAATGCCCTGTGCCTGTTTCCAGGAGTCTTGAACATCTCCATCCAAGAAGAAGTCTCGCCCGCAGCCTTGTCGTCTTCGATCGCCCGCTCGATTTCGGCCATCTCGAAGTCAACCAGCAAGGAATGCTCGTCGCCGCCACCGTGGAGTTTGACAAGGATTCTGCGCGCTTCCGCAATTCGTCCTTTTGAGACCAGGAAGCGGGGCGATTCGGGGACCAGAATGGCGGCTGGGAGAACGACGATCGGTACGGCAATTTGAAGAAGGGAGGGGATGCGCCAAGCCCATGTGCTGTCGTAGTTTCGGGTACCGTATGTCACCTTGATCCTGTGAGCGACATTTAAAAGAGCATGGTTATTATGAATTTACCCAGGCAGCGAACGAACTACCGACGAACCAACCACAGTTGTAAAGCCTATAGTCAATCCACTTTAGTCATGTCATCGCAAAGCTTGAGCGATAAAATACTTACGCTGTAAGGATTCCACGATGGGTTGGATACGCCAGCTCAGTGATGAGAACAGGTGCAAGACCACCCCACCAGCCACTAGGCTGACCGATGAATAGTCGTCCGAGAATGAAGCCCGTCTTATTGGGAGTGAAAGCCTGCAACATAGAGCCGAGGAACAAGAAGGCATATCCCACGAACAGGCCTTTCTTACGGCCCCATCGATTGGCGAAATAGGCGACCGCAGGGTAGGCAAGCATAGTCGACAAGGACTGAACGGCGTTGATGAAACCCAGCCATGCGCCTTTCGGTTGGTCCATGAAATTCATCCATTGAGGCAGAGCCAACAACCCGTTCATCATCGATCCATCGTATCCGTTCGCGGCGCAAAGAAGACCCAAGAAGACGCAGTAGTAGTTGAGCCATCTCAGATGTGACTTCTTGTACCATGGGAGGCCATCCTTAGGTAGGACAGCTTCAAGCTCGGGGCTGATGCCCTTGCTCTTGTTGGAAGCACCCTTCGACTTTCCGAACATGTTCTCAGAGTGTCAAGGGACGTGAACCAATAACAAAAGGGACCATTGAAGACTCCAAAAGCGCCAAAAGTCTGCTCGGGGAGAAAGGAAGAGCCAAGAGAGTTGGTAGTGACAGGACTTACTTAATTGCTTCCGAACCGGGACTTTTAAGTCGATGCACAGACATACAACCGTCCGAATTCACGGTTGAATCTCCATCAACGGCAGGGAACTACAAGCGCCCCCCGTGGGGAAACCACTCAGTCTGACATGGGGTAAGTCTGGGGCAGTTGAGGTGAAGCGTCCTCGGGGAATATCGGGGTCTGAGCTTCGAGCACTTGTTCAGAGTTCACCTCCTTGGCAAACGGGGCTGTTGTTAAATCCTCGACATTCCCGCGTTGAGGCTCCGCTTGTCACCGCATCACATGGTTAGATCCAGATAGCAACAACGTCATTCAACCTGAAATGATACCGGATTTCACCTTTCCCATCTAAGGATTGATGCTGAAGCCATGAATTCGTTAAAGAGTTCTGTACGCGGGTCAGGGGGGTAAAGCTCCCCTGGGAGAGGTACTAGCTCGCTAACCAAAGCATCGGCCTCCAGTCTGAAAGGCTTTCAGGTAGTTCCTCAATTGACAGATGGATAAGAAAACTTTAGATGTAAATCAGCAAGTCTATGTTCTTCATATGCCGTGCGCAAAGAATCCGAAAGCGAGATGAACTGCTTCCCCGCATGATCTTACGACAAATAATCGGGATTTGAGGAGAGGTTGGGGGAAAGAGCGAGTCGTCGGACATTTGCGCCGCGTAGACAGGTTCCCAAGACGGCAGCACCTTCAACCTGGTGGATTCTTCATCGAACATAATGAGTCGCGAGTGGTCATAGCTCGCTGGTTGCCAGGCAGTCTGGAGTCTGGACTTGATTCGGTGAATTCTCACCGCAGGGGATACTACGACTCGCGGAGTGTCGGGCAAACTCCGCGCTCTACACCATTCAGCTCCGACAAACTCCGCAACGCGTTCAAAGAGCAGCATAACAACGTCATGGACGGGTAATTATCGGCATATCATTGCTTTCAGCTCCTACGAACCAGGATATCGAGGGTGCTCCCGGACTGAGCGGTCCGTCATACCGTCTGTACTCCATCACTTGCGTCTAAGACCTCGCATACAATACGCGTTCAACCACAAACATGCTCATGCGTGCGTGATGGTACGCTCATCTTCCTTCATCGAGATTTTGCGGCTGCCCTTGCCTTTTCTGTTGGAACATTCCTCGATCTGGGAAGCACAGCCCCTGAGACAGGGGCTATGTTTCTGAGTGCTGTGAGCCTCACACAATGGGATTGTAGAACCTCATCCGGTTCTCTGGATCCCACTTCTTCTTCAAGGCCCTCAACTTCTCCAACCTCCATTCTTCCCACCCATACACAGACTCCAAAGACTCGTCCCCATGCGCATAATTGACATACGCCCGCAGCCGCTCCGGATCGTCGCTCGCTTTCAGTAGATGACCCCGCAACCTCTCTCCATAGTCTTGAGCTAGAGCATCCAGAGATGCGTTCGGCTTGTACACGACGTAAGGGGTGACCAAGAGATCATCATCGCGGTGCGGGAACGCAGAGCTCTTTTCATCGATAGCCTTGACCCCCTGCGTCGAATAGCCCTCCAACATGAAGAACGAGCCCGCAAGCTCGGGAACGGTAACAGACATCTCGGTCATGTCGTAAAACACTTTTCGAATGGCGGGAAGATCGTATCTCTTTAGCCCGATAGGATACCTGAGGCCAGTGTTGCCTTTGGCACAACCGAGGCTGTCCTCACTAGTAAACACCTTCACGGCCAAGTCGGGCATTGGGGTAGAGCCACTTTCGACACTGACATGCTCAATACCGAAAAGAGGCTTGGCATACTCTACGGTATCATTTTCACTTCCATCGTTAATGATGGCGTACCAGATGATTGGCTAGCAACGTTAGCCATGAAAAGCAGGTGGATTCGCGTTCGGGGAACGTACTCTCTCCGGATCAATGTCGGGAAGGTTAATGAAGTAAATCCAGTGAGCAATCTCAGGTGGCTGCGTCTCCATCATCTTGTTGGTCACTTCCATTACCTCTTCTAGATGCTCAGCGAGGAAGATGAAAATGCTGTAGCCCCAAGCATTATTCTTGATATCGTAGACGCGGTACTCCCACTCGGTCACAATGCCGAAGTTGTGTCCAGCTCCCTGCAAGGCCCAGAAGAGATCGGGGTTGGTCTCCTCTGATGCCGTCACCGCTTTGCCGCTGGGAAGGACAATCCGGGCTGAGATGACTTGATCTGAGGCTAGGCCGTACTGTCCCTGTAGCCAACCATGGCCGCCTCCGAGGATTGGTGCTGAAAAGCCGACGCATTCGCAAAGGCCGGTCGCTTGGGGAGATAAGCATCCGATCCCTGTCAGACATTCTGGGGAAATGGACTCACTTGTCTGCTTGCCTGCCGCCCAGAGGGCATTGACAACCGTTTTCACGCTCGCGCCGCCGCCAAGAGTTGCCGTCTTTCCATCTTCTGCTATCTCAACTTGATTCCAACCCCGCACGTCAATCATAATCGCGTCTCTAGCATCCTGCAATGCTTCGGTCGCGCCATGCCCGCCAGACCTGGCGAGGAAGGGTATTCCATGCTCATTAGCGTACCGAATCTGTGCAAGTCGGTATCAATCAGTCTTTCAGTCCACTGACGATCAGTCGATCAAAACTCGTTCTCGACTTCGTGTATACGTACCGTGGCTTGGATGTCACTCTCCGTAAAGACATTCACGACAGCACCCACGCTAGGCGCATGCCACTCTCTCCACCTGCTTATAGACGATTCGAATGATGGCTCATCGGGCAGCAAGATAGATGCTTGGGGCGAAAGTTGCGCCGCAAGCTCCGTCCAAGAGCCCGCGACATTGTGAGCAAGCAGTGAAGCGAGACCGAGGCGGCCCAAGATTTTCTGGGTAGAAACTGTCTGGTTCAGCGCCCAGGCTACGCCAGCGGTCAGTACCTCCATGTCAGATATGCAAAGAATTAAGTTTGAGCTCAAGAGATGAGAAAACTATTTGCAAATTGTCCCCTCATCCACTGGTGAGTCGCAACACATAGGTAAATAATTTGTCAAGAGAAGTGCGGGGCTTGTGCATGTTTTTTATCGTCGCAGTCAACAGAAGGGACAGTTCAAAAGCTGCATGACTTAGCGAATAATCTGACAGCAGATCAGCGGCTAACCGAACTCGGTCAGTGGCCAGTGTGATGAAGAAAACTGGGAGTATCGGTGTGATAGTATGGTTGCTTTTAAGACCAAAGTTCCTTCTGATGCTCCAGCTTGTGGAGTAGAATGCAACTCTCACCATGTCGTCAACAGACAGGTCAGCATGTCGGCTTGGAAAATAGAGTTTGAAGGCATTCTTGGCGATTTCACCATTTCCCATGGGCCGGATTCCCGGACTTATCGTGAAGGCAAAGTAAAAATTAACATTATTACGTGGCTTTCTTGGCGTAGCCCCGTGCTCTTATTCATAGCTTATTTCAACCCCGGATATCCTTCGTAGAGGCTGCCTCTCCCAGTCTCAAAGCTCTTAACAGCTAAGATCAAAAACGGGAGTCGAGCTGCCTGCCGGCGTCACGCCGAAGGAGATGTCGGTCTGCGCAGTGTTCGCATCAAGAAGGGTGTACCACCAAACGTTGCGCTGACCAAACAAAGCGCAGCCGACCTGAGACCAGTAGGTGCGAGCATTGTCGACGGAGGCGACAGCAGCACCCGATTGAGGACCGACTACGATAAACATGTTAGTCAAAGACATTTCGAGACGTGTAGCACCGTAACGGTGAGGCTAGGTCTGGTTCAACTTACTGTGCGGCCAGCCAGTCTCGGTGATGTACACAGGCTTTCCTCCTGCAACACTCTCGGTGTTACCCACGGCGGTCCAGAAGTTGTCGGCGGCCTGCTCGATGGCGTTGGGCTTGGTCGACTCGAAGTAGGGGAATGAGTTGTGGCCGAGCCAGTCAACAGAGGCGGCGACACCGGCGTTCTCGCCTCTCACCCACGCGGTCCAGGTGTCGACGTGGCCGATGGGCTTGCCCTCGAGCGCGGTGCCGCGGATCCAGTCTCTCAACCAGCCGATGTATCCCTCGATCTCGGCGCCGGTGGCTCCGACGCCGGCGTTGGCGGCAACGCCATCGGGGCTGCTGCGGTAGAGATCCTCAGAACCGACGCTGATGCCGACGACACGGTCGGTGAAGGCGGTGCCATACTGCTCGGCGGCGCGCAGCAGAGAGTTGAGTTCGTTCTCGTAGATTCCGCGGCCGGCACTGGCCCACAGGCCCACCAGGATCTGAGTATCGGTGTCGATCGCGGCCTGGTAAGCCGAGATCGGGTCGTTTACCGTGCCGCACTGGATCGATGTGTAGAGGCGGGCAGATGCGAAGCCCGATGTTCCAGCCAAGCTCTTTGCGGTGTTGAAGTAGCTCACGAAGTCATCGTAGCCTCTGCAAGAGCCGTCTTCATTGGTGGCTCCGTAGTTGAAGCCCTGCTGGGTCTGGGCCAAGACGGTGGTGGCCAAGGTGGCCGCGACAGCTCCTCTCAGATACATATTGAAGATATTAAACTAAAGATAATAATTGAGAATTAGGGATGGATGAGGGCTTCTGGAAGTCTGGTCGAAGCTGGGCATCTCAGGGTCCTTATTTGTTTACGTTGGGCCATCTTTAAGGTATTTAAAGTGCGCCACATGTTCGGTAGCATGTACAACAAAAATAGCTACCGACAGACACGAGAGAATTTTTGTGCATGACGTCGCTCGCGTGCCTTCGTGGAGCTCGTATTCTTGCCAGCCAAGACGCATCTCACTGCCGTCACCGACCGGTTTTCCATTGGGGTAAACATGGTGAAAGATGAAAAAAGAATGGTATTGGACCTGGCAGTCAGCTAGTAGTGATCGGCAGACTCAGCCTACAATCTCCACTTGCACCGTCAGTCTAGGCCCCTCCTAACTCGTCATTCCCGTCCAGCTCATCGTCAATGGGGCAGCCTTGGCGATAATGTGCGCTGATTGAGCCCCATCAGTCCGCTATTGGCTGGGTTGTGTTGTTCGGTCCCCCCTACAGCACGATCCTCAGCTTGGACTCTCAGCCCCTTGCGGTCCCTGAGTATTGCTTCTTTCTGGTATTCTAGAGAGATTATCGACGGCCGGGGAAACGTTCCGCCAATTTGACATCCCCTTTCCGCGTGATTACTCCCGCTGTTTTGGTGTGTTCTAGACCTGAAAACTGGTCTCGGTAACTGGAACCCCAGCAGCGCATCAACTGAAAAATGGCGGTGGAGTGTCTCTGATTCAACACAATGTCTCCTGTTTTCACGTCGTGTTCCATGCAGAATCCCGAAGGATCTTATGCAAAATGACTTGCGATTCCGTGCGATGAATCATGTTTTGTACTACATGTAGCCAGCTGTATGCATCGCAACACAAGAATTACACATGTTTCTTGACTGCGAGGAAAGTTCAAGGTGCGATCCTGATGTCCATGCAGGGACGACAGCACGAAGCGGGTCGGTACCTGAATTCCAGGCCCATAACCCCGGGTTCACGGCTGACTGCGGCGTACTTGTGTAGCAATTCTTTTGGTGACATGGAAATCCGCAGGAATACACACATGATCATTTGATTCATATACCCAATCTTCTGAAAAGCTCTATGACTGTTATGAAATTTGAGGCTCTGCATGACCGCGTGTACGTCTGGCTGTACTGCACTGGGGCCCCCTGAGTGAGCCTAAATCTGCCGCCTGGGCCCTGGCTTGGCCAAGATGCCGTCCGAAGGTTCCGGCTAGGGTCCAAGAAGCTCGAGCAACAAGACGGCCGGTGAACGGGCCGAAAGAGACAATACCGGCCGCATCCAGTGCTGATCTTTGACTGAAGCAGATATCAGGTGATCGAACAATTTGTCTGGGCTAGTTCGCCTCATCAATTGCCAGAAAGGAACGCTAGGCGTACTTCCAGCGCTCCTTGATGTCTGTATTACTACACATTAACTATGTCATCCTCACCGTCACTTGTGTATTTGTACGTGACTGCGAAAATGACCCTGTTGTTACATTTGTCCTGGTCTCATTTCATCGTCTTGCTCCATCTCCCAGAGACAAGTGATCGGGCTTCCCGATGCCCTTCCATCCTCACTCTCATCAGCTTGCGCAGGACAGACGATCCGTAGCATGTAGCGATCACGGCTAGAACTGCCGAGGTTCCGCATACGCCCGGAAACGCCCAGTTGTAGTCTACAATGTAGTTAGAGATATTCATGCCATAGAAGGCAGAAAAGAAGGAGCCAGACGCAAGGCCAAGCGTCCCCATGCGGTACTTGAGGTCGAGTAACATCAACGAGTTGCGGTTGGCATCGAGAATGGCGCTAGCGCTGGAGGCAGGCCAAGACGGAAGAAACAGTCAGAGGGGGTTCTAGAATCTGAAGCAATGGTGTGACACAAACCTCTCTTGGGTGTTCCGAATGCTGGACACCAGACTCTGCGCCTCCTGCACGATCTCGTTGAGAGCGTTATAGTACGACCCCAGCAATGACTCTGCCGCCGTGAGGTCGTCATCCACAGTCTTTGCCAAGGCATTCGGGTCTGCCTTCTCTGTCAGGTACAGAGCGGCAAGACTGTCGTCCCAATCGAGGACATCTTCGACAGCGCCGAGGACCAACTCCGCTTGCGCCGCAACCCAGGTTGCCCTGCCGGACAGACCGAACAGGTTCAGCAACACGCGGCGGTCCACATCATCTTCCAGAGATGCGAGAACACGATCAGCCGGGTGTCGCACAGCCGCGAGTTCTCCCTCAAGCTCCGTTACAACAGAGCTCAACACAGCCTCTAGGGCCAGGAACTCGAAGGTGGCTTGCGGCTGCGCGTATGTCTCGTCCTCCTTACGCTCGCGCGCTACCTCGGCCAACGCCGCATTCCTCTGTTTTATTGCTTCGCCGATGTCGCGCAGGAACGCTTCGCGGGAGGTGGGACTCGTCGCATCGTCGAAAATAAGGGCTCGATCGCGCTGCACTAACACCTTCAGGTGGAAGAGGTGGATGAGGACGGTGGAAGGCCGGATGCCAATGTGGGAGAGAGTAGAAAGCTCAATCTTCCGAATATCTCGAGGGACAAGCCCGTAGCTTGTGGTGAGCTCGGTTTTCTTCGCCGAGATATATCGTACCGTCACGTCGCCATTTTCGTCCACCTCGGTGCACCGAAGCCGCTTCGGCTGGGATGGGATCGGACTCGGAGCACTTTCGAAGGTCGGGGAGACAGAGGCTTTGGTTGTAATAGATCGAACGGTCAATTGATGTGCTGTGAAGCAGATTCGGTAGGAATATTGAATTAGGCGCATGGCCATCGAGGCAGGGCTCGACAGGTGAGTTGTAGATTTAACGCAGCTAGGGTAGCTCTTGCGTCCGAGCATGGATCAAAATAATTTAACGGTTATTGACAAGCCACATTGTGCCGCCACAGCCTTAAGCCACTCAATGCGCATAATTGCTGGATACTCGCGTACAATGCAATTAAGGGGGCTGGGTGCTGGACATCGCTGTAGCGGGTATCTGCAGTACTCCGATTGGGGAATAAAATCGGGACCACTTTTCTTCTCTAGGCACCCTTTCCAACAGTTCCGGCGAGAGATTTATCAATCGTCCAGATGAATGAACCTGGAAACAAAAGACATTCGGTCAAATAAGATACGTTGCACAGTAATCATGGGCGATGCCGATTGCCAGTCTACCGGATTCTCGGATCCGGTCCGGCGTTCTAGCGACCCCTTTCCCCTGTTCGATCTACCACTCGAATTGCGGGAACAAATATACTGCTATCTGCTATACTACGGCGGAACCGTGAACCTCTCGAGAAGACCCTGGGGGATTTTGGTTTACACAACAGAGTCTCGTTTCAAACCTGACACTGTCATCTTGAGAGTGAACAAGCAAACATACTCCGAGGCCATGCCGCTGCTCTACAGAAGCTGCACCTTCGACCTGGGATTAGATACAAACGAACAAACTGTCAATGAGTTCTTCGGCAGGTTCTCTAAACAAACAAGAAGGAATATTCTCCGCGTAACAATGTTTCCCCGGCGGTTCTTTGCAACCGTTCCCCGCATCCCCTGGGAGCCGGCGTGTCTGGCTGTTGCTGCGCTGTTGCCTGCCCTTCAGGAGGTCACCGTCGTACTCAATCCCAATGACTACCCGTTTCTCTTGGGCGACGATGGAGCAGCAGATTGGATTATTGGACCGCTCTCCAAGATTCGCGGAGCACAGAAAACACTGCAAGTCGTCGAGATAAGTCCGAATAGCGAGCGAGTTGTCGCACGATGGAACGAGTTGGTGAAAGCTGCGGACTCGGCACGGCGCAAGCGTGAAAGATCTCAGAGACGCAAACTGCCAGCCTAGTTTCTTTGGGGTTATCTGACGACTGAATTGAACAGGAAAATTGGTGATGATCGATAATCGATGAGAAGGCCATGAACGCCCACAGCCTGTGTTAATCATAACATTGGTAACGCGGGGTGGCTTTTCTTCTGCAGGAACATTTCAAGATTTCATTTGTCTCATCGAACGGTGTATATTAGCAGTCTATGCACCACTCTGTTCAACCTCATGATGTACATAAGTAGACTACACACCACTCTTGATGAGAGACAGAGCACTTCAAGCTAGGAAAATCGTTTGCGTAGATGACCGCCCAAGAGCGGATTCCCACGCGTCAGCATGAACCTGCCCAACAGCGACCCGTTCCACCCACGAACCCTTCCTTTCGACCAACATGATGTTTAGGGCCCACCATCTTCGGTACTTATACGCAGTAGTATCGAATATTTCTTCGTAGTACTCTTTGGCAGAGGGATACTCCAGAGGCAAGTTGGTGCTTGGCGTGGCGTCGATATCAGCTTGTAAGACCTCGTCTTGATCGTTGCGCGACAGCAAAATCATCTCCCATTTCTCCTGGTCATGATGTCCAGAGAAATTGATTCCACGAAGGGTTCCGCAGTGTCGGCCATTGCTGTCATACAACCAACCTGCGCAGGTCAAATTCCCCCGAAAGTAAGGACTGCAAGCTGGGTCGAAGTCTGGGGACTTTATCTCAAAGGCTGTAGCGTTGATGATCTTTGCCTTGAACATGAGAGTGTTTGGTGGGATATCAATCTCCAGGTGATGAGAGTCCGGCATACTTGGCTGCTTCTCGGGCGGTGATGAAGCAAGAATTTGGCCACCATGGATGGGGTTTCCTGCCTCGCCAATCTTCCTAAATCCGGTTGTATTGCTGATCCAGTAACCTTCAACCTCAGACTTTGTTGTCACTGCTTTCCCCATGTATTTTTCTTTTCTCGAGGGATCCCAGTACACATGCCCCTCCCATGCCGTCCAGCACCAGGTAGGCGAGCGGCAGAGCTGTGCATCCGAATCTTGTTTCGCTTTATGTCTTGGCCGAAGCGTACTGCCGAAACGCGGCCCCCAGAAGAGGAAGGACTCGAAGTTGCTCTCTGGGATAGCACTGACAAATGACCAGCCAAACATCTCGCCCATCTTTGAAAGCAATCCGGCAAAAGCACTCAGCGAATCGGAATGATAAGAGAGTCTTCTGTCTGAATATTCGTTGACAAGACTCTCATAAAACTTTGGTCGGGACATGAGGACGGAGCGGGAAAACAGACTAGTTGAGACATTGTCCCAAAGTGCCATTCCGTGGTGATGATACTGAGTGCTGCTTTCTGAAGCCTCATGATGGGAGCAAACCCAGTATGCTTGGTAGTCCGTGAGGTATATGCGATTTCTGGAAAACACACATTCCTGGAAAGTCCAAGCTCTCGACTTCCACTTCGATTTCCACAGGAGCGGCAAGAGTGCGGGAGACTTGGCTTCCAGCGATCGAGCGCCAAACTTGATTGGGGTGTTGGGTTCCTTACGGGGGTAAGAGACGCCCGGCAGACCATTGTTCGCATCCTTTCCTGATGCAGCTATGATGGTTGCCAGGGCTGATTGATATATCAGGTGCATTTGTGGAATGTACTTTTCTTTGAAAGCGTCATCATCTTGCACAATGCACAAGGAGTCTACCCAAAGATATCTTTGCTTGATGCTGGCGGTGAATCCAATGGCGTCCTGGATAACTCGTGGTATTTTCCCCATGACGCCTTTCAGAAAGCCAGTGATTTGCAGGCTGGGAAAATTGGCCTTCTGGCTCCGAAATGCTGTGAGGCCCCCCCAGACATAGCTAAGAGCAACATAGCTACAATCCCAAAACCGCTGTACTAGGCACATGTCTTGAACGTCGACCAGCCAAAGATCCGTAGCAAGTGCGGAATTCGAGCTTCGTCCCATGCTACACACCTCGTGAGATTGGCAGTCTTCGATCCAGGAGCTGATCAGCGCGTAATTCAATTGCCCTGCGGTGGCACTTGGCACAGTTTTGTTGCCGTCGCTAAGACAGTCTTCCAAAGGAGCGCCGATGAACCCTAGTAGTTTGTAGCTTCCAACCAGTCCTTCTGGGATTGAATCGGATGTCATATCGCAGTACACCTTGATCAGCGACGACGATGATCCAACTTGTTGCTCGTCAACATGGAGATAGCACATCTGATTGGGATGCTCTCCTGGTCGCCAGTGTGGATCTAGGTGAACATAGAATGCTTGGATAACCAGTCTGCAGAATGAGCAATATCCGTTTTTGGAAACAATGTCTTGGAAAAGACCGAGCTCCAAATTCATAGCCTTCCTTGGAACGTTGACGACAGCGTCCAAGGGAATGGTGCTGCAACGACTGCAGAGGTGGCTTGGCTCATCCTGGAGGCCGGTCATGGCTGCGTGAAGTATGCGATAATTATTTAAGAATGAACACGAACGACGCCTCTTCCCTCCCGGTTGAGAAAGTCGGTGGTGGAAACGAAACAAGAAATTGGCAACAACAAGCAGTAAAGCTGGACGCCGTTGAAGAGCGTGATCTTTTGTACGAGAGGGATCGGCAATAATGCACGCGGCCCAAAGTGGATCGACGTGGTATTTAAGACTTGCTGCCTGTTGGTTGCGTGGTGTATCTTCTTTTGTGCCGCAGTCCTGCATACGTTACTTCCGCAGTCGTGGGCTATGGGTTGCGTATCGCCCCGAGGCGAGAAACACAAGCTTCAAAGCCCCGAATGATCGAAAACAGGCTGAATTTGAACTCATAGATGTGTCGATGTGTACATGTAGAACTTGACCACTTTCAATGAAGTATTGGACAGTCTACGTACATTTGCTACGAAACACTTGTACGCAAGAAGCTTGCGCTGGTCGTCGAGTTCCTTCTGCGTCCCGTCGGTGAGGATGTGAAGTCTGTCGGCCCAATGGATACTGAGCGCAGGGCCCTTGCCCTTGGATTCGTCTGCCATGGCGACGGAAAAGGAAGAAAGCGACGCTGGATGAAGGCAGCGAAGAAAAAGGACGGCGAAGGAGGACGGAGACGACGGAAAGGGAGAGAGCGACGCCGGACGAAAATGGCGATGATGTGTGCCGTTTGAGAATGGAAAGTGCTGCGCAGTGGATTATTTGGCAAGAAGGTCAGGTGCCAGGCGAACCGACTTCAAGTCTGGAAAGCAGGCAGGTACGTGGACGGACGAACTCACCCAAGGGGCCTACCTGCCTCCCTAGATAGAATTGATCGACGCATCTCCGATAGACATGGGAGGCAATTATCAGGTTCTTGAGCTCTTTGAATTCACAGACGCTCTTTGACAGGCCTTTCAGCTGAATCTTCACCCTGAGACATAGCTAGGGGAAAGCCTGTTCTTCCTGAGAGCTGCTGCGACCTTCCTCGCGTTCTTTGTTCGCCGCATGATGATCGCCTTGGTCAGGACCATGGTCTATGTTTCGCGGCTGGAAATGCGAGACAGAAGCCGAGTGCCATCGCTGGAATCTACTCGAGCCAAAGGCCAATCAACCCTATTAGACAGACGCCAAAAGTCGAGCATTAGCATATTCATGCAACCTCCAGATAGTCCAGAGGTTTGAGTAGAAACCTTGATGTGACTCGGCGGTGCTGGAAGAGCGGGATTCTGATGCGAATGACCATTTTGTCCTGATGTCTAGGAAAGGCTCAGAATCTGTCGAGATCTAGCTATATGGGTAATTTCAACAACTTTTCGCGTTATCCGATCCACCCATTGTCCAGGTTCTACACTTGTCCAGCAATTTTGGGATGCCTATGACTACTCAAAGCCCAGTGAGGTACCCAACTCGGGCAATCCTTACCGCCCCTCGTTTCCTCGCGACCACAAGGTACCTTTCCTCCGTCAAATGACGGCCTGGCCAATAACTTCGGCCAAATCAAGCACTTCCGGCTGAGGCTTCGTCGCGCCAGATTGAACCGTCGAAATTCACTCGTCCACAGCCTTGACGAGGCTCGTCGCCTTCCTCGTGTAGGTACCCTCCGCGCTTCCAGACGTTCCCCCATCGTCTTTGATATCCATGCGAAGATAGGCGAGTCTTGCCTGAACCAGCGCCTCCAGCATCACGTCGCAAGTCGAGGCATGAATCGGGTTCTTCCTAATGTTCTTCTGCAAGGTTCCTCCGCCGACGACCCTGGTGACCAAGCTCTTCGAGAGCTTGACGAAGAAGTCCTTGCGCCGTCCATCGAGGTTTTGGCTATGTCTGCTGTAGCTGTACTTGAGGTTATTGGCCTCGCTCATCAGAGTGCGAGCAAATTTTGCAAGACTGCCTTGGTCGCTCTGCAGGCCATCCAGGCCGAGACTGCGGCAGAGGTTGTCAGAAACACCTGCTTCGAGGGGTCTGGCGTTTCCGAAGTAGAAGCCGGCGCTGAAAGTGTTTTTGATCGTCTGGCTTAGACGGGAGAGCGCGTTCTCCCGCTTTTCGTGTGAGTTCATTTCGGGGCGAGGAGTACGGATAGCGGCGGCGCCTGTTATCGGTCAGCATACCAAAAAATGAGCAGAATTGAAGGTCCGCTAGCTTTGCTTGAGGTGAACATACTCAGTCCTTTCTCGCGGTTCTGAATCATCTTCGCAAGGCCACGACGTCCCCTCGCTTTGCGCACCGCGCGTTCCGAGATGTGTTCGGTGCTCTGGGTCGCATGGGCGGCGGCAGGAAGAGCTGGGGAGGGTGCAGAGGTTGAATTCTCGCGATCGATTTTCATCTCGTTGAAGGAGGACGTCATCTCGGCGACAGGCTTTGGGTCTGCCATTGTACAGACTTGCCAAGGGAAGCGCGCTAGCAAGTGTTGTCGAAGGTGAGGGCAATTTTCGAGGTTGCGGGAAGAATGGAATTCTCCAAGTTAGTGTGGTGTAGTCAGCGCCTGAAGAGTTTTTCTGGGGGCAGGTTTTTGATATATCAGGTGAGTTTGTGAATACTATGAATAGCCGGTGTCGAATCGGGGTGAGTCAAGGCTTTGTGAAGCAAGGTGAATAGCGTCTGGTCGAGCCATGATGTTTGTGGGGAGTGTGTACCTGGACGACTACGGCCTTAGCAAAGAAAGATTAGTTGTAAAGTTCAGAAAGTTCACAACTATGTTGGGACAGGAATTTTAGCATACATCTGTACTCCAGGAATGGAGAGACAGGAAATATGATATGCAGCATCTTAGGTATGCTATTGATTGCAAGTCTCTGCATGTCCCTTTCACACTCAGTAACATGAAATGGGTGTTTCTTTTCATGAGACACATTGAAAGAATGTCTTATTCGCTACGCTAGGTAAGCTAGGGGTTCTGCCATAGCTTTCGCATCTGCTACGCTAAGCTAGGGATCCTGCCATAGCTTTCGCACAAGCACCAAGTCCTTCCACAACCATCATGTTGATATCTCATACCAATTCGTAGTCTTGATCGTCTCCAGGATGTTGGCTAATGAGGATTCTGCATTGGATAGGCACGCTCGATTGCGACGATAGCGACACCGAGGTCGTCACGGTTCTGGATATAGGACTCTCTCTCGGTCACCCCCATAGCAAGGAGGAATCCAACAAAAACCTTTGGCTCTAACAGATTCACTGCGCTCTTTCCCCAGTAACGAATGGCCTTTTCCACCTGGCTCTTGGTGTGCGCAGCGTGAGTTGTATGCTCATAGTTTCTTAGGCATCGCCATGACGCAACCAAGGCTGCAGACAGGAATGACCACCCGACGAAAGAGACTCGCGGTCTCATGGACGTCTTGAACTTCAGCTTGTGGCCGTGAAGCGAACCAAGTTCGCGTTCAACAACCCCATATTTTGTCGTGATCTTACACGTGTCGTAGACTAGCGGGTGCGCTTCATTAATGACGATCAACTGATAGTCCTGGACCTTGTTCATCCACTCATCGAAGCGGCTTTCAAACAATTCCGTTTGGCTGATCTTTGACGGAGGTTCCATGCCGAGATCAGGGACGATCGCCAGAACGCCCTCTTCAATGGCCCTCGAGACGGAAGGAGGGAGGAAGAGTCCGTTGTCGGCCTTGCATACATTGTTGGAAAAGCAGCCGAATATTCTTAACATGGTATCTCTGGACCTGTAAGGGAACAGAAGAATGGAATCGCGGTAGCTCAAATCCGGGTTCATACCACCGAGTACAGGATCCCAGACGTCGTTATTCTCCAGAGCAGAGGGGCCACAGTACAGTTCAGCCATTTCCAGACGCATTTCCTGATGGTCGAACCGAACACCATCGCGCAAATGCTCTTCCCTGAGGTGTGGATCATGAAGCCGTATCGAGTATATCGAAAAGCCATCGCTATGTAAAGTGGCCGTGGGACCAGTGGCTGAAAATGCACAGCGTCTGGCGATGCGCTCAAGCTCCACGTGCGCCAGAAACCTAGTTTGATAAAGCTGGGGTGTGTCGAGGTCGACCATCCAATCCCCGGAGCTGCTGATTTGATGGTATTGATATTTCGCGGCAAGCAAAGCATGAAAGTGGGCCAGGAATACGAGGGATCGCTGCCGCAACTCCTGACGTTGTATGTTTTGAATCCAGAAGTCTCTCCCATGAAAGGGGCCGGCGGAAGAAGCAATCGAATCCGCATTCACCTCCAGGGCTTTCATGTATTCTCTAACTTCATGGATCAATCTTTCCATCGGCCATGACAAATATTCGTCGGCGTTCGTCCAAGGAACCGTACGTCTGACAGCCACAGCCTCTGAGAAGAGTGGGCGGCCCATTGTGATCGAAATCCGTGAGCCGTATTGGACAGAAAGATATGAGACGCAGAAAGACTAGACGGTGAAGTAGCAGACAGAGAAGTATTAGACGGGGAAGAGGATGAGAAACTGACGCGATAGACTCGGTCGTGGGTGTCCATGGAATATATCCTGTACGATTATGACTGACCTCCAGCTTTCTGGTTCGATGATTCCAAAGATGGCTGCCAAGTTAGTCAAAGGTTCCACGATACCTTTTGAACCATTCGCTCAGCGAATCTCGGTGTCGCAGAGATTTCTTAATAACGATCGGAGTTGGTGTTGAGAAAACGTCGTGAGGACACGCAGTAACCTTGGTTGCTTACCTGGAGGGCACGAACGTTTTGGGGTATTAGCGGCTTTGTTAAAAATCATGATCCATAGCGGTTTTGAGAAACCTCCCCCTTGATGTCTCCAACTCGCAAGGTTTCCCACGAGACCCTCAAATTGCGGTGCCTGGAGCATGTGAAAGGCGATGATAAAACACGCTGAATTAAACATCTCCGGCTTGGTTTGTGCAGATGAACGTAAATACTGGAACAGATTCTTGCAAGTAATCCAGTGAAAATTCATGGTATTTTGGACTACTCTTCTGTCTTCCACAATCTACGCCGTTGTGGCGTTGAAGTTCTTCGACTGGCCAATGTTTTTCTTCGGCCCATTAATAGCACCTGCACAAATGGACGTAAACTGAACTCTTTGTCTGGTAGAACTTCGAGCATGATTCATAAAAATGATTGAGCAGACCTAAGAGGTGTTCAAATGCGGTAACGACTACTTGTTGAGAATGACCGAAACGCAGAAACTCAAAGAGTGTGACAGACCGTTCTTCTCCCTCCATCCTATGCTTCACAGTCCCCAAAACAGTACCGAATTCACTGCCACTGCTTCCCAGACAACAACCCGAGTCCCATAGTCGCCCCAAAGATTTTATCCGAGGATTGAATAATCATCCGGCGTTTGAGCAATGCCTCAGAATGAGACCTGGTAATCGGTGCAGCTGCTTCCAACCTAGAGGAGCTATTTGTAGTTGCACTTGGTAGTCCGCTTGTAACTGTCCCATGTGCACTTACTGCCATTCCGAGGGCACTAGAGGAGAAGGCCAGTATGTCAGGGCAATTCAATTCGCGGACCTGTGTACTGTGTATCGAAACTCACCCTCTGGTTGGCAAATCGAGGGCACCGGACAATGGTAGTCTTGCCCTTTTGGCCCTTGAACTTGCACGTGTCCTCCTTGTAGTTTCTGCCTCTGGTGCATTTCTACAGAAGGTAAAGATGTGAATCAGTCTCAAGCCATGCTGCGATTGAGGAACGTGTAGTATGAAGAAGTTTGCTTACCCCAGTGTACGTTATCAACGTGTTCATGTCCTCCCCGCCAGAGACTCCGGCGTCTATGCCGCTGCCATCGACATCAACGGGGTTCGCCGCCACGCCGATAGCAGCGAAGAGAAAGAAAGCAACTTTGGCAATCTGCATGATGAGCGGTGTAGAATGAGAATGTCAGAAAGACAGATAGAATGAACAATTGATAAGGGGCCAAGTGTTTTCAAAGCGTATGATAAAGCGATGGTGTTGAGAATTTTCAAAATCAGACAGTCGTCGAGCCTCTCTTATAGGAGTTTCGACATCTTTGAATCCGATGGCCAGCGAATCAGTAGTCACTTTGCGAAGGATGGTAACACATAATTACGCTGTCTAGCGAAACCTCTCTTCCTCATTGTCACAAACGACTTGCATGCGATAATACACATCGTTATTGGCTTGATACCAAGTTACCTATGGTTGTCTCCATGATGCTATACAGAGTAACAAACATACCTTTTGAGCCTTTTCTACAAGGCAGACGCGGTGATTGTAGCACTGGATCAGCCTCTGTCATATGTTGGACCATGCTGACATCTGACGTTGGCATAAGCAGTGCTGACGAACATGGTAAGACTTAGGTAACAGATTGGCTTGTGTAGCCCGCTTCTGGACTTGAATGTTGAGAACGTTCACGGTCCCGTAGCCGGAGGTGATCCTTTCGGGCGTCACTCCCCATCCACAACGGTTACGGCGTCACTTGGTCACTTGGTCGTATATAACAAGTGCCGTGCGTAGCACTTCCATGTTCACAGAGTCACGTTCATCATCCAGCTGGAAATCACCAGGAACGTGACTCGGCACTGCATTAGGAGACTAGCTATGTTGTATTGCACCCAAGAGGAACGGTTCGGACTTACCTTGACACATCCAGCAGCATTAAAGCCCAATATTTGCTTTCTTCCACACCACTTCCGTTGTGTGAACCATCTCCTCCGCGAACCTCTGCAGCAAAATTACACGCAACTGCTGAAAATGGCACTAGTCAAGTTCGTATGGGGACAGGAGATTCGCATCGCCATTCCGTGCAATATTAATATAGGCGTCATCCTTGTCATTGGTCTGCAAGTCAAAATAGTTCAAGGAGACGAAGAAAGCGATTTGATTTTCAACATTTCCATCGGCCTTCTGAATTGAGCTCACATGTCCTGGGATCTCTCGATTTCGTCATTCCAACGGCATGAACTTCATTTGCATTGAGTATACCCCGTATGTAGCTCAGTAACTTTCATGTTGGTTCCAGTTGAGGACTGAACCCAATTCTGCAATAACTGGATTCAGGTCCAATGCCATGGAGTCTTATTTGCCCTTTTCACTTTTCACATTGGGAAGTTGTTGAAGATGCGATGGTATCTGCCACTGTTCCAGCCTGATTTGATGTTCTTCCCAAACTGCTGAAATCCATCAACAAAATGGTAGTAGCAAAAGAGAAATGTGCGCCTGGGCTAGGATGACACTGGCCCTGATCTTCTGGGCAACGTCTGATAGGGTGGGTGAAAGTGCAAATTTAACGTCATAACGCACAGCTCCCTGGTTTTTATGTAATTCGCCAATATGTCCAACAAACCACGCGCGCCTAGGAAAGTGGCCAATGATACGGGCACGCAATGGCGGGCCATATTTTCTCCTTTTCAAGCAAAACTTGCCAACAGCATCCAGCCTGATTTCCTTCTCAAGCATAACGCCAGGAGCTGCTCTGCCAAACCCTTCGTACGGCGCTTCGGCACCTGTCGCATGTAATACACTCTGGATTGAGAATACACAATATGGAGAACATTGCGTTCGCGATTCATGGACGCACTCACGCCACCGATCTAAGGTGAAACTTTTCCTGTAGTTACTATGGTCTTGAGTTACTGACGATGGATGGCAGCCTCCTCCTGATACACGAGACAGATCTCGAGAGCGACAATCGGAACGACGTCATTCAGGAGCTAAGCGGAATATTCAGATACGTCTGCAAAGTGACAGATTTGGCCAATGAGGATGACCCCAATACCGAGGCGGTGAACCTGCTGAATGCTCTCGGTCGCATAGTAGTATGTTCAAACACGACCGCAAAAGACTGCGACATATGTTCTTGGTGGAATGTTGTTAACGCTACAAATAGCAAGAGTCTCCCCAAGAGCGGTTTGTTGTTATCACGACATCTTATGGGGGCTTGGTGTTCTCAAAAGCAAGATCTGTCTATTCCCTCATCACATAGCAGTCTGCTAATTCAGATCCAGGCGATATCTCTGGCGGCTTCATGTAATGTACTGAAGCTGCCGTCCGCTCCCGACATTACATACGCTCGGCTGCTCAAACATGTCCATTCGATCTTCTTTCTAAACATCACAAACGAGAACCGGTCTTGGCCTGGAGATAAGATCATTCCTCATCATCTGTATCGTTTGGCTGGAAGAGAGTCTGGTCACATTCGATCTGAGACAGTCGAGGCTGTTTCGACAAGTAGGGGGATATGGAGTCGATGCTTGGCCAAATGTTGCGACGACGCAGAACGCGGATATGTCACCATCAATTGCTCGACATGAAACCTCGCAGATGACTCCATGTCCTCGGTTGCTATCCCAATACCTTCGTCTCTATTTCACGCTACAAAGAAGTTGGGTTGTGACGTTCTGGCAAGTTCCTCCAAACTCTTTCGGTGTGGTCCTAGGGAAGTTATTAACAGCCCTTTACCAGTTCCTCAAAGACCTTCCTTTCTTCGCGGAGAGCAAGTTATGGAGTATGGATGAGATTGACATGGCATACAGCTTGGCCAGAGAGCTATCTGGCTACGAGGAAGATCCATCGTCTCAGGAGGAAGGAGCAATCATGACGTACAATGGTCGTATTGCAACTGCGACATCGGATGAAACAATTGTTCGGGGTTTCCTGTGTCCATCGCGGCAAACATCCAGGGGCCGAAGAGCGCTCACGGAAGACTTCAATAGCGATCGAGGATCGCTCATGGCTCCTCAACCCTCCACTGATTTGTGGAGAGTCTCTCCTCTCCCAGATGAGAGCGCCCTTTCGCCGAGGGACCGAGTTGTTTCACACAACGGCAATACTGCGCCAGTGCCGGTGGTGATTCACAACCACGCAAGCAATATCTCTTCTGGTAGCCTTGTCGTAGGAGCAAGTGTTGGTGCAGTAGTCTGCATGAGCATTCAGCATGCGGGAGAAAAGACTCCTGGTCTTGCGTTGGCATCTTCTCAAGAATCCTGGTACCAAAAAAGCCTTTTACGGAAACTCTTCCGTAGTATGCGATTCATCTATAGCCACCGTTTTCCAGAAAAAGGCGTCACGTTGGTAGAGAAACGGTCTTCGGCAGATTTGACCGTTGAAGAGACAGAAGCAAAACTCAACGAGAAGCAAGCCTTGCCGCTGCCAAAGGATCGTATTGAAACCAAACATCCGAACAACGAACGCACTAAAACGGTCATCAAAAACAGTAGAATTAGCGTGTGGATGAGAGACCCAGCCAATCGGTAAGTGTACTGCACTATCACGGATGATTGACTCAACTAAAGTTTCATCTGTTGGATTCTCAGCTTATTGATACTTGCATTCAATGAATACGTGGATAAATACTTGCGAAACACCTATACCGATTCGTGGAAAGATTGTCCTCCAAAGCCAGTTGATTGGGAGCCGCCTACCGAAGTGCAGAAGGAAGTGAGAAGGACTTTCCGTCATCGGGAGTTCCAATCAAGTCTGTATTGACCCTCCAGGTGCGTCTAATAAGTCTTCACAGCTTGAGACTAAGAAATCTGTCGGCGAAGATACATCAGCTGAGCGTTTAACAGTAGCACCCTTTCCCTATACCTCGCAATATTTCAGATCCTCTCACTTAGGTGAAGATTATGCATGGAGTTAAGGACTTCCTAGGAGTCATGGCAAGCCTTATTGAAGCTATGGTTTGAGGAGAAAGAGAACTTAGTAGGTTGTATGTACTATCTAATGGAACTCAGGTATTTCGGTAGCGGGCGCAAGTGCAGGATTTTGGTGACCTAGTCTTTGTGATGGTAAGAATAAAGTGTTTTAACCCAAGGTTTCAAGTGCACCATCCGATCACCGGAATCCTCTTCCTCGCACCTTCCCCTAGGCTCCCTAAAGCAACAGAGAAGGTATTGTTTCTGATACCTGTATGAGCTCTCACCGGTTTGCTCCCGTCGGTGGCCCTCGGCCATCTCGGTGAACAAATGCCGATCAGGACCCACACCCGCCAGCACCAAAGTCCAAGCTTCCTTCTACAGCTCCCAATCCCGTCCTTCGCGAAGCTCAACATCACACACTCCCTCTCACACCTCCGTCAACCCCCCTCAAGCCGAGAACAATGCTCGCCTCCCGCGCCCTCGCCCGGGTGCGCCCATCCGTCCTCCGCCTCCGCACCCCACCACGCACCACCACCACACCCCTCCGCAACACCTCAACGTCCTCAACCTCCCGCGCCGCCGAACGCCTGCTCGACCGCGTCCCCTCGCGCTTCCAGCGCTACACCACCGGCCTCCGCAAAGCGCCCCTCTCGCACATCGTCGCTTTCCTCATCCTCCACGAGATCACCGCCATCGTCCCGCTGCTCGGCCTCTTCGGCCTCTTCCACTACACGGACACCCTCCCGCTGGAGTACGTCACGGGGCACTGGGCCGACTACGTGCGTGACGGCGTCGGCAAGGCGGAGCGCTACTTCAGCCGCAAGGGCTGGTTCGGGTTCGGGGCGGAGGACCGCGGCACGATGACGGGGGAGCTGGACGCAAGCGCGGGGCGGCTCGAGACGCGCGAGGTGGAGAAGAGGTGGGCGAAGGAGGAGGGGGCGGTCACGGGGAGCTTTGAGTACAGGACGACGCGGCCGACGGAGGAGAGTGCGAGGAGCACGCAGGATGTTCTGCAGAGGTGGAAGGAGGATGGGAAGTACAAGGTCGTGGTGGAGGTTGCGATTGCGTGGGGTATCACGAAGGCGCTTCTGCCGGCGAGGATACTGATTAGTGTTTGGGCGACACCGTGGTTTGCTGGTGTGATGGGCAGGGCGAGAGGTTTGTTTAGGTCCAGCAAATAGAAACAAGACATCACGGTCAATCAAGAACTCAAGGACGTTGTGTTGGGTGTGGCTTTTTAGTGCCTTTTTGTTTATATTTTTGACCTTTGAAGACTTTTCTGTATCAACCTATCGACATGACGGCATGTGTCCTACGCAGCCCCTATCGAGAGGAGTGTTTGGGACATCTAGAGCTTGTTCGGAGGTAGATGAGAAATCTAAGGCTTCTCGTAGATCCAGTCGAACTGGGCAGTCTTCCACTGAACGGCCTCGCCGTCCTTGAACCAGAGGGCAATCTCCTTCTTGGCGTTCTCGACGGAGTCGGAGCCGTGGCAGACGTTGCGGCCGACGTCAATGGCGAAGTCGCCACGGATGGTGCCGGGGGCAGAGGCAAGGGGGTTGGTGGCACCGAGGATGGCTGGAAGTGAGAGCGATTAGCATGAGGTTGCAGGAGCAGGAGAGTGGTGCGGAACTTACTGCGGCCGGTCTTGACGGCGTCACGGCCCTCCCAGATCATGGCGCAGATGGGGCCGGAGAGCATGTAGTTGATCAGACCGGGGAAGAAGGGCTTCTCCTTGAGGTCAGCGTCTAATGGCGGTTAGCTATGCGTGGCGACTGCGGAAAGCGGCGGGTACGAACAGTGAGCCTCGAGGTGGTCCTTGCCGGGGGTGACAAGCTTGATGGCGACGAGCTTGAAGCTGTAGGAAACGAGTCAGACCTGGTTGCCACGTATGAGGTTGTAGGGTGTTGATTTGCTGACTTACCCACGGCTCTCGAAGCGAGAGACGATGGGGCCGATGAGGCCGCGCTGATGGAGAGTTAGCTTTCTGCTGCCGTCAATTGGCAGCGTGCCATGGTGGTAAAGCGTACCTGAACGCCGTCAGGCTTGATGGCAATGAAGCTATCTCGAGGTCAGCTCAAATTCTTCAAGTTTGGGTGTGTGCCCCTATTTGCCCGCCCGAAACCTCCCACGATGGCGGGGTAATTTTCAGGGTAGCGGCAGGGCATCGAGACAAAGACAGGCGGCATAGCAGTGCAGCTAGCCGATGCGAAGGCATCATCAGACAGGAAAAAAAAGCACTTACGTCTGCTCGGTAGACATCTTGGGCGAGTGATCAACGACGACTTCGGGTGTAGAAGAGGGTTGTTGTTGGTAGATTGTGGTTGTGACAACGGAGGGGACGACGGGAGAAGAAAGGTCTGCTGCTGACCGCTGGTTTTGTTGGCTAGAGGAAAAAATTATGTACAAGCCGAAGAGGGCAGCGAGAATTATGAAAGTTGGTGGGGGCAGCTGTTCGATGCTCCTGCGAATGTCTGCCCACTCAGGGAAGGGACTGCCGCCAGTTGTGCGTGCATTACCGCCGCCGGGATGTGCATCTGGGCCTGCATTGTTATGCTGTTGCTTCTTGTGCTTCGAGGCGGGGTCTTCGTCCTGCGGCATGTGGTGGGGTCCGGGTTGGGCCATGGCGGCTGCGTGGCTGCGATTGGTGCTTGACGCGCTAAGCCAGCTGAGGCGCACAGTGAATCAAGCTTGTGACACGGCAGCGGTGCACTGTTGCTGGGCACTGTGGTAGACCGCCTAAATTTGGACAGCTCAGCAAAGCAACCTTCCAGAGCTGTGGGTGGAGGGCGTGGAGGAGCCATTGGAGGAACATACCGGAGGGATGGCGTTGATGGAGACGATTCGAATCAAGGACGGAGGTTCTCGTTAGAGCAATGCTTCGGTGTCCGAATTGAAGAGCAATTGATGGCGTCTACGCCGGACCGTAGAGTTGTTTTCTGTTTGTTTACCTCGTTTTACCCTCCCGGCCGACTGATAGGCGATGCGACCTGATGCAAGGCACCCGACACTGAGACAGTGCGCCGAGCTCCGAGTCCAGGCACACACGGTGCTTGGCCCCTCTTAGATGCATCAGCCGTCTATCTCAGTATCTGGAGACCCCTCACCGCCTGACTAGCAAATCAAGCAGTATCCAATTGAACACATGAACAACACGAGAATCGACAGATATCAGATCCATCGTGAAACAGATACGACGGTTGTCCCATTGAAAAACACACGTGTCTGGCGGATTGAACCCTGATGGACTGCAGCATCTCCCCGTCCTCGACACCCATGGCGGGGTAGGTGACATCAGAAAGAAATATGCAACAAAGAAGAATCGTGCCTCCATATTCGAGTATGCGGAGTTTCCGACTAACCCCTGTTCCCACTCCGTTGCAGCTCCAGGAACAGCGCTAAACCTGAAAGGGAGCTACCAAGGGGACAGCTGTTGAACTTCGGCCGTCTCACAATTGGCAAGTGGCCGCCCGTCAACGACATTCCGTCCCATCACCCCCAAGTACTCGAATCCATCCACGAGAGAGCGCAACAAAGAAGGCCTGGCTTCTTCTGCTCTCATGTTTAACTCGTGATTCTCTACCTTCTCCCTAAACTCCCCCCTACGTCTTTTATACGAACAATCAGACACAGATCCCCTCGCCATGGGGTCGACAGGCAAGCTGTCCTGCAAATGGACAACTTACCTTGGTCTGCTGGCGGCATTCAGCTGCATGATCCAGCCTGCCGGTAAGGAATTCGGTGACGCCATGATTTTGTGACGCCATGACCCTTTTACTACTTCAACTTCTTTGTTGATGAAACTATTTGCTGATGGACAACCGCAGTCATGGTAAAGGAAAACGATTTCAAAAAGTGCCACCAGTCTGGCTTCTGCAAGCGCAACCGCGAGTACGCTGATAATGCCGACGCCCTGGGACCCAACTGGGCGACTCCTTACAACGTCGCTCCCGAGTCTGCCAAGTTCGCCGATGGCCAGCTGCAGGCCGTTATCGTCAAGACCATCAACGATGCGAAGGACACCGTCAACCTCCCCATCACCGTCTCTTTCCACGAGTCGGGTACCGCTCGCGTGAGCGTCGACGAAGAGAAGCGCCAGAAGGGCGAGATCGAGCTGCGACACAACAGCATCGTCAAGAAGGAGCGTTACAATGAGGCCGAGAAGCACGTCATTGTTGGCGGCTTGAACTTGGACAAGGAGGCCAAGGTTGCCTACCAAGATAAGGAACAGATCACCATTCAGTATGGTCCCGACGCCAAGTTCGAGGCCGTCATCAAGTTCTCGCCATTCGGTGTCGACTTCAAGCGTGATGGCTCGTCCCACATCAAGTTCAACGACCAAGGTCTGTTCAACATGGAACACTGGCGCCCCAAGGTCGACAAGCCCACCGAGGAGAAGAAGGAGGGCGAGGAGGCCGTGACCACAGACGTCAAGACCGAGGACGAGAGCACCTGGTGGGATGAGACTTTCGGAGGAAACACTGACTCCAAGCCCCGCGGCCCTGAGAGTGTCGCCCTCGACATCACCTTCCACGGATATGACCACGTCTACGGTATCCCTGAGCACACTGGTCCCCTGTCCCTGAAGCAGACTCGTGGCGGCGAGGGCAACCACAACGAGCCCTACAGACTGTACAATTCCGATGTCTTCGAGTACGTCCTGGACAGCCCGATGACACTCTACGGCGCCATCCCTCTTATGCAGGCGCACCGCAAGGACTCCACCGTTGGTGTCTTCTGGCTCAACGGTGCCGAGACCTGGATTGACATCACCAAGGGCGAGACCAAGGCTAACCCCCAGGCCCTGGGAGCCGGTCCCAAGACCGACATCCGCACACACTGGATCTCCGAGTCCGGCATCCTGGACGTCTTTGTCTTCCTTGGACCTACCCCCAAGGACATCTCAAGGACCTACGGCGAGCTGACCGGCACCACTGCTATGCCTCAGGAGTTTGCCATCGGCTACCACCAGTGTCGCTGGAATTACATCTCCGATGACGATGTCAAGGATGTCGACCGCAAGTTTGATAAGTTCAAGATTCCGTACGACGTCATCTGGCTCGACATTGAGTACACCGACGGCAAGAAGTACTTCACCTGGGACCCCGACATGTTCAAGAACCCCATCGACATGGGCAAGGCTCTCGATAAGCACGGCCGCAAGCTCGTTGTCATTATTGATCCTCACATCAAGAACGAGGGTGGCTACAACATCAACAAGGAGATGAACGACAAGGGCCTTACCGTCAAGAACAAGGACGGCAACACTTTCGAGGGCTGGTGCTGGCCTGGATCCTCCAACTGGGTCGACTGCTTTAACCCCAAGGCCCTCGAGTGGTGGAGCCAGCTCTACAACTATGACAAGTTCCCCGGCACCATGGAGAACACCTTCATCTGGAACGACATGAACGAGCCTTCCGTCTTCAACGGCCCTGAGGTTACTATGCCCAAGGACAACATCCACTATGGCAACTGGGAGCACCGTGACGTCCACAACATCAACGGCATGACTTTCCACAACGCCACCTTCGAGGCCCTCATCACTCGCAAGAAGGGCGAGCTCCGCCGTCCCTTCGTCTTGACCCGTTCCTTCTACGCCGGCTCTCAGAGACTTGGTGCGATGTGGACAGGTGACAACCAGGCCTCGTGGGACCACCTCGCCGCTTCCGTTCCCATGATTCTCAACCAGGGTATCTCCGGCTTCCCCTTCGCTGGTGCTGATGTCGGCGGTTTCTTCGGCAACCCCGAGCCCGATCTGATGGCCCGTTGGTACCAGGCCGGCGCCTTCTACCCATTCTTCCGTGGCCACGCCCACATTGACGCCCGCCGTCGCGAGCCCTACATGCTCGCGGAGCCTTTCAGGAGCATCCTCACCTCTGCCCTTCGCCTCCGCTACACTCTGATGCCCTCTTGGTACACTGCTTTCTTCCATGCCAACCGGGATGGCAGCCCCATCGTCCGTCCGATGTTCTGGACCCATCCCGATGTCGAAGCCGGCTTCGCCATCGATGACCAGGTCTTCGTCGGCAGCACCGGTCTTCTTCACAAGCCTGTTGTCGAGAAGGACCAAGAGGTTGTCAGCATCTTCATCCCTGACGACGAGGTCTACTACGACTACTTCAACTACGAGAAGCTCGACACCAAGAAGGGCGAGTACATCACCAAGTCAGTCGCCATCGACCAGGTTGCTGTACTCATGCGCGGAGGCCACATCTTCCCCCGCCGCGACCGTCCCCGTCGCTCCACCCAGCTGATGCGCTTCGATGACTACACCCTTGTCATCAGTGTCGGCAAGAACGGTGACGCTGAGGGCGAGCTCTACGTCGACGATGGTGACTCGTTCGAGTTTGAGAAGGGCCAGTACATCTACCGCAAGTTCAAGCTCTCCGGTAGCACGCTCACCTCCGTTGACGCCGAGGGCCGTGACGCCAAGTCTGTCAAGCCTGGCAACTGGCTCAAGGCCATGAAGGAGGTCTACGTTGATAAGATTGTCATCGTCGGAGCTCCGGCTGGCTGGAACGTCAAGGAGGTCAACGTGGAGTCGGAGGGCAAGACCTGGTCCGTCCCCGTGCAGTACCACGCCGCCGAGGAGGGCCGCGCCGCGTACGCCTTCGTCGGCAGGGTTGCCGCCCGTATCGGTGCTGACTGGAGCATCAACCTGTCCTAGAAGGTCTGGGTTGAGAAGAAGAGGCTTTGGGTCGAGAAGGTGCGATGGGTAGAGAGTATGGCACGGCCGATGGTCATGAAGCTTGGTGGCAAAACCATTGCGCCTGCAAGCAAGACCTGGGTCAAAAAGACAGATCTCAAGGAAGTTACTGTGACTGAGACCTATGGCGCTCTCGAGGATCGTTTCTAGATTTTGCTTTCATCGTACCATTGTAGATGACCACGGCAAAGGGCGGTGTAAGGTGTTCATCACAGGAAAGTACCAAAAAGGCCCCAAGAATAGTAGACATGGGGTTGTTTGCGCGGATCGCTGCCAGGATGGAAAAACAGCAGATAAACAACGGCCCATCCAATAGACAGACCAGAATTTACAAAAAGCTTTGTTAAATAGAAACTCCTGTCTACCCCGTGAACTTGTTTACACTCTACCATTCGCTGTGGACGTCGTCTTCAGTTTTGCTGTTGTTGCGGCTCCTATCGCCATTGCTGTACAAGTTCAAATTCATTAGCAACACGAAATGCAGCCGCGCAGACGGAAGTCAAATTTGGGTGGTCTCTGGTTGAAGGAAATGAAGACCACACTGCCCTTTCTCCAGCGTGATCTCGGTAAATAGAGGGCAGGGAGGGATCTAGAACCGGGTTTCGAGAATTGCGTGTTGGGCATCCCTGGTCACTCACGGTCGGTCGGTGGGTTCGCTCGTTTGCTCGTTTGCACGCAGCGCAGCGCCGCAGCGGAGGACGCTGGAGATCGGAAGTGGGCTGGCTCACCCCGTGGAACCTCATTCACGACAGCCAGCGATTCCACCACCGCTGGCTGGGCCCCGGCCGGAGACTTGTTGAGCCCCGAGGGGAGTGACGGGAGGCGGCTCAGCCTCGCTCGTCTGCGACGTCGTGCGGATAGTGAGGTTGGCTACGAGGAGGTCCAAATGTCCACCAAACATGTTTGTCTTGCTGCTCCT